TTTGTCGCAGACAATTTTCTGGCATGTTCTGTCAGTATTACTAAAAGAAACTGATTGCGTATCTTCAGGTCTATTCAGTTACCTTGGGCTACGAATGCATCAAATTGTTTATAATTCATCAATCTTACATAGCAATTTAGTTTCCATAAGCATGTGATAGTGTGTATTTAGTGCAGATGCCGGATACTGTGGAGTTGGGATTTAAGCACAGTTTGTGATTTAATTCTGTTTGTGCTGTGAATCCTAATGGAGTTTACAGCAAATTAGTGTTTTAAGGCATAGCTTTAAATAAATACCTTTATTGTTAGTCCTTCAAGAGCACATTCATCAAGAACTGCATGGCATTTCCTGTAGACTCAAGTTAGAGAAATCTTATTTTTCATATGGAAAAGGTTTATTTTTGGTCTCTGAAGAATCAAAGCATGTCTGACAGCAAAGCAATCGTGAATGTCAAAGGAAAGGTATTTGGTTTGCAGTTCATTTCTGTCAGGCCAAATCCATTAGGCAGTGAGTATATCCTTAGGCAAACTCTGTGCCTTTGCAAACAGTGACTGAGATTGCCAAATCTTATAACTAAACTGAAAGATTTACCTGGCGTTGCTCAGGTCCTTAACCCAAATAAGTTTTGTTTTTCTTCATTTAAATCATTGTTCTGGGTTGGGGCTGGGGATGAGGGATTCAGTATACAGGTGAGAGGACAACCCCGGGTGAGAGGACAACCCCAGCCCTCTCTCACCGCAGCAGTTTGAGGCCCGGTGAGAAGCACCTTTCCATCGCTGCTGCATCTGCCATGGGCACAGCCAGGGGAGGGGTGTATGTCCCCCATCTTGGAGGACAGACAGACAAAAAACCCCACACAAACAGACAAACACTCTGAAATATAGAGTAGTAAGGATATAAAATACTAGTTAATCAGTTAACTGGTTAAACCTTAGGTTAACCAATTAAGCAGGATCCTGCCTCCGCCCCTCCCCAAGTGCAATGGGGCCGGCAACAGCAGCTGGGAGTCTTCTGCATGGGGGGCCAGTGAGGGGCTGCTCCCAGGTACCAGTTAACCAGTACCTGGTAAGCATCACCCAGAAAGAGTGATGTTTACCGGGTAACTGGTCACTCATTCATATCCCTGTATGTAGGCAGCTGTCCCTCTTTCTACCCCTGCTGCCCCAGTGGCATTATAGTTATTCTCAGGGCTTGCTGAACTGATCTGCGCATGCACAGATTGCCCAAACCCGGCTCTTCCGGGTTGCAATCTACTCTCCACGAATGAGTAGATTGCATTATTTGTCAAGCCCTGCTTATTCTTGCTCCTTGCTGCCCCAGTGTGGTCATTCTGTAGTACAACTGCACCTCTTGTCAGACTCTTCCCTTTCCATTTTATGAGAAACAATCCAATTCCAGGCATATCCCATTGTCCTGGCAAAACCAAACCCTGGCCTTACTTTAAGTTATGATAAGAGGAAGCTGCCTACCACATTTGGTAGCCCTAGCTCTTACAGTTTAGGAGGAGTTTTTGAACAGATGGACTCACAGACGGACAAATGGACTCACATTTCTAAAATATATAGTAAGAAGATCTTGCTTCAAGGATCTCTTCAGTCTTTCTCTGTCTAATTTTAAAAACAAATGTTCTAGAACCACATTGAGACTATTAGCAGTCAACTATCAGGATTCAACCTAATGACAGTATACCTAGATGTTAGCCAGAACTGGGGTAGAGAAAAATGATTTTTTTTAATTTAAAAATTGGATTTTTTTTCTTTAAATCAGATTTTTTTCTCTGGAAAAAAAAACAATAAAATATTGAATTTCTTATCACAAACATGCTATGCATATACTTACAGTCTCATAAAAATGAATTAATGGCTCTAGTCTCTCCAGCCTAATAACCAGCTCTTGCTTCTTGAAAGTTCTGGGCTTTCCATTTCTGTTTTTCAGCAGACTAACATGGGCAAAGACAGATACAGGCTGGATCGGATTTTTTTTGTTCTGTGCTTATGTGGTGTTGAACCTGGGCGAAGCACGGCAGAATTAGTTAAGACATTGTCGGAAGCATTGGTCCCCAACCTTTTGGGGCTGCTGGGAGCCTGGGGGTGGGAGCTGCAAGAATGGTTAGGGCTGGCCCTGGTCACTAGGCGGTCGCACATAAATGCCCTGGCGGGTGCCATGACACCTGCAGGCACCACGTTGGGGACCGCTGGTCTAAAGACAGACACACGATATATTAGAAAGGATGGAGGCAGCATAGAAAGCAACGTTGAAGAGGTCTGGAAATGAAAAGGGAAGACATTATACAGCATGTACAGGCAGTCCCCGGGTTACGCACAAGATAGGGACTGTAGGTTTGTTCTTAAGTTGAATTTGTATGTAAGTCGGAACTGGTACATATTATAGGGGAAACTCTAGCCAAACATTTCTCCAGAGCTCAGTTTTATTCTCCCACACCTCACTTCCCTCAGTCCTCTATTCTCAAGCTGAGGTGTCTGCTGAGAAAAGCCGCTCCGCATCTCCCTGGTCTGCTGTGGGGGGCGCTAGCTTTGTGTCTCCTTGGTCTGCTGGGGGGAAGCAGCTAGTGTGGGATTGCCTCACCCCGTTTGTAAGTAGGGGTCCGATGTAAGTCGGATCCATGTAACCTGGGGACTGCCTGTACACAGCTTCCTATATTCCCTATAGTTTTGCCACAGAAAACCTGTCATAGGTTTTGGATGTAAAAGAGAGCCTATCTGGGAATATTTTGAAGTTCATTTCCTGAGTGAAAAAGGAAAACATGTCAAGTATAAGCTGAGCAAGGTGATGCAGGGCCTAGCTGCAAGAATGAAACATCATAAGGAAAAGTGCTTATTGGGAGAAAATCATGTGGATGAAGATGGAGATGTCTCTGAAGAACAATATGGATCAACTTTGAAATGCATCATTTTCAGGACTCTCTCTATGCCTTTTAGTATAAAAGTGTGATCTTACAAGCAAATTCCCAAGCCTTTTGCGATGTTGGGTGATGCTAGGGGAAAAAACGTTTAGCTAAGTTAATCTTTATGGCTTGTTAGATTCTAAATCTAGGTAACTAATTAATCACCCAATTATACAGTACGGAAAACTGCAGTAAGAGAAATTTAGAGTTGTCAGTTGCCACTCTTTTTTAAAAAATATATTACATAATACTTGTGTCTCTCATAGTCACAGACCATAATGGTGATGCCATAAATCTATTCCCTATTTTACTTCAGCATAACTCAGCTTTCCTAAAGGGATCCCATCTTTTTTTTTCAGTGGGGCTTACTCCAAAATTAAGTGCACTTTAAGTACATCCAGTTTTAGCTTTTTTGGTAACTTGGAATCAGATCTACATCAAAATGTCAGGGGAAGTAGGGAAAATGAGAGCTAGTTGTAGACGTTTTAAGAACACTGTACATTTAGTGTTCTGAGCACTTGTCTGTTAGCATTAAAAACATTTGAAAATTAAAAAAAAAAGTTAAAGGATAGCCATCAGCCAGCAACTCAGGAGATTTCTTCAATTGCAAGTGTGAACATTTATGGAATATTTAAGATTTAGTTTACTAAAATAAGTGCTATTGTGTTTGTGTGATTTAGTTCTTACCATTTCTAATGTACTGCTCCTACATCTGCAGCTTGATATATAGGTAATGAGTATTAGGTACTATTTCCTAAATTAATAAAAATCAAAATATTTTTACAAATTATATAGAATGTGCTCTCTTAGATGATGTAAAATGCTGTATTGAACTGTACAGTAACATGTTTTTGTGATCAAATTTGCACTATTGTTCGAAGAAATAAGTGAAGTAGTATCAGTGGGAAATTGGATTTAAATCACTTATTTTTTTTTGTGATTTAAATCATTCCACCCTGGCCACAACTGATTTCCATACGACCATTTAAGAGTAGTTTTACAAAACAATGTATTTATAGTCTGGTGGCAGGGTCATGCCCACTCATTGTGCCTGGTGAGTCATAGCTTCACACAGGAGCCTGTAGTAATTATTGGACATTCTTGTATCTGCCTGTCAGTCTTGTATTACTTGTTGTGGGAGGGAATGTATTGGCAGGTTCAATTTGTCTTAAAGGTTCGGTGACGTGTCAGATACTGTGGGTCAGCCTAACCTGCCAACCTCTCTGGAGGACATCAATGTGTTGTCCAAAAAAAAGCACTCCTTTATGTTGGTTTGGAAATTAGTTTCTACCAGTAGCTGCATACACCTTAAATAAACATTAGCTGAATCCTAAACTGTTGGAGGTGGTTCCGGAGCTGCTGGATTTTGACAGGCACTGAAAAAATTTCATTACAGATTGAACTTCTCTAATCCAGCACCTCTGGGACCTGACCAGTGCTGAACCAAAGAATTTGTTGAACTACAGAAGGTCAATATTGTCTAGCAGCACTGCCAACACTTCCAGGATCGTGCGCAATGTAAAATCCTGTTTAATCAGTTAAGCGGGACCCTGCCCATGGCACAGTGGGCTGGGCCTGGCCAGAGTGCAGGCTGGTTAATATGTCACCCATTTACATCCCTACTTGTGATATGAAAGGTAGAAATACTGTAGAAACATGGAGCAATTAATTGCACTTTTGTAGGAGATTTCATATTGGCATTAGGAGATCACACAAATGAAGACTATTACTCTGTGCCACTAGGTTACACTATGAATCTGCTATATTCATCCTGTTGTGTTAGGGTTGGAACAAAAGACGTTTATGTGGTACTACGCCTGCCTTAGGTTGCCATCTGGAATTGCCCCCAAAGTACGCTGGTAATGGTTTCCCTTCATATCCAATACAGCCTGTTGATATTAGCTTTTTAAATAATGGGTCTTGTCTTCATTCTTACAAGGTTGAGCATTTTGCTATAACGCCAGGAGTCAAAATTGCACAATAAGTGTTCCGAAATATCTGGGGTTATTTTCTGATCCTTTCAAATCTCAGAAATCAGTTTTCTCTCTGTCTAAATGGGTATGGTAAGAATAATTTAAATATTTTGTACATTTCAGACTGTGCAGTGAACGTCCACAAGAACTGCAAGACCTTATTGGCTGAATGCAGCAGTACCAGACCCAAGGTAGGTTTTACAATTTCTTGTCCCTTATAAGCTAGGAGTAATAACATTTATGTGAGCACATAGATAATGTATTGAATTCAGTGGAACTACTCTTATTTACATCAGCTGAGAAGCTGAACTTGCATATTCAAATCTCTGAATAGTTACTAATTGGTCCAGTGAGTATCCCTTAATCGTTTGTGTATGTGCAGGGGAAACTGAGTCAGGCACAATTACCTAAGGTTATGAAACAAGTACATGTCAAGAATTCCTGGCTCTTAAACCCATTGTTTGTTGCTGAAACATGTTGTGTCTCTAAAAGCAAATGATGCATATTCTAAAATTGGGTACACCTGTTCTTTAATGCCACTGCAAGGAATAGATAGGCACACAGCATTCTTGGTCCATGCTCGAGGAGGCTTGCATGAGAGGAGGGAGTTGAATCAGAACAGTTACATGCTAATTATAATCTGAGCACTGGAGAAATGGTGGTTTCATGTTCTAAACTGTAAAACTTCTGAATCTTTCCAACCCATGGCTCAGTGCCTTGACTTCCTGCCAAGAAGTTCATTTCTTATCTGTATCAAAGGATTCCGTATAAGTTTACAGTGTGATCATAATCAATACGCATCTGTAAAATGTTTAGAATGTTCATGTTTTAAAACATGGTATTTGAATATCATTTCCTCCTTTACTTATCTATTGAGACTTGCATTCAAATTTTGGGTCCCCCCCCATGTGCAACTATTGACTTCTGAGACCAATAGCAGTGCAGGGTGTAATATGCGGAAGAACAGAGGGCACAGAACAGCTCAAGTCTTGGCATTTAAGGGAGAAAGGAACCAATTTTTCAGCCCAGTCCAAAGGGCAGTATTATTGTATTAAACTTTCACATCAGTCTGTTTTCTTAACATGCAAACTCTATTGTGCAGATACAGCTTTCTACAAACTCTAATATGTAATCAGGCTCCCACAAATCAACTCTAGGGCAAGAGAAAGGAAAGAAGTAGGCTGAAATAGAACAGAAGACAAAATAAATAATGAAATGCAATGAAACCCCAATGGGTATTATTAATTTTTCCAGTATATTGACATCTTGATTTTTAACATACTGACCTTTGGACATTGCCATATCATATGAATGAGGACTTTTCTGTATGGGAGAGTTGCACTGATGTATCTAAATCTGTGATTTAAAGTGCTTTAATCAAACCTTCACAAAGCAGATACTCTTCTTTTGGTTTAAACCAGCTTAATTCCATTAGGAATTGGTTTTAAATAAACCAAAATAAGATAACCTGAAATAAGTGTCCACACATGAGTTTATGTGATTTAACTAAAGCTATTTAAAATCACACCTTTAAACTGTACAGCTTTCTGATGTAGGCAAGACTTAGTCTTGCTTATATTCTGCAAAGCATTCTTGCCTTTTATTTGTAATCTTTAAATCTAGATATAGTGAGTTGTTTTAGAATGTAAAAAAATTTAAGAACTTTTTTTAAAAAAAAGCTTTTGGTTTCCTAGTTCAAGTGTAGGAATCCACTTGTAATCTGTAATTCATATAGTTGAAAATATAGTTTACTGTGAAATGGTGCTATCATCTGTGTACTTAAGGGCACACTTTAAGAAAAAACATATTTTTTTTCTCCTATAGCAGAAGGATTTGCAACACAGACCTCCTGGATCCCCTCAAAGTTCACCTCAGTGCTTTTACCCAGGTTGGTACCAAAAAATTATTTCTGTGCTCAAGGCTTGTCTTAGTTTTTATACTTTTTTCTTTGTTTTAGAAACAATAGGCATAGTATTACTGAAGGTTAGAAAAGGTCTCTTTCAATAATATGATTTCATTTATCTCCCCTGAGAATGAGCTAGAAGCATGTAGAAGTCTCCTGTGTGTTTTTACCTGCTTGTATTTTTATTCTTTTTTTTATACTTTCTTGCTGTGTAACCTCAAAATATCACAGTGAAGAAGGATCAATAAGCTAGTTTCTCATTGATTGCCTATTCTCTGGCTTCTGAAAAGACTAGAACTGTGAACTGGAACCTTCATTTTACATCAGATTTTCATAATTGTCTATTAAAACTTGCCTGCAACTGGTGCTTGCTAGCAGTCTGTGAGACAAGTGGGCATTAGCTATCAAATATATACTTTGTTGAAATAAATTTGGGGGAAAAAAAGGATTGGGGAAAAATATTTGAAAAGAGCAGTTATTTTGAAGCATAAGCTCTGAAATAGCTTTTTCTATTGCCATGGAAAATACATGCCTGTTTTCAGGCCCCAATAGACAAATCACTTTTATTCCCCGCCACAGCTGTGGTCGTGAAGCTGTACTGAGGTTGTTTAGATTCCTCCAAATGGGCATTTTCACTGTTGCAGAGCTTGCTCTTATCAAACAGACTGTAGGATTCTGCACCTTTGCTTTGAATTTTTCTAAAATTTTGGATGCTGATGTTTATTTCAAAGCACAGCTGTTCTTCTCAGTGATTACATAAAATATTAACAGGGTGTTCTCCATCTAGTAGGTCAGAGTTGGATCTGTTTGGGTTTATGCCCATGTGACTGAGATCACAGTCCAGCCAGCACTGGGCATGCGTAAGTACAATTTTAGGTGGTAGGAATTGACAGGTGTGTATTAAGAGGAGAAGGAGATATCTCTGGTTGTAAGATCACTGGGTTGAGCAGAGCAAGGGCAAAACTAGTCTCTTTGCCTGGTCACATTGGTCTCTGTTCAGTTGTGTTACTCAAAGCACATTGTAGATGAGGAAGTCTGTTATCTGGAGTGTCAGTGTGTATGGTAGGGGGTAGCAAACTTGCATTTTAAGGGTTTTTTTTTAAACTTTTACTGTGGTGACCTCACAAAGGGATTAATTGTTAGAATAAGATAGGTAATTGCTTTTGTTGTTTTGTCGGCTTGTAGGAAGGTTTAGAGACTAAAATAGGAAACATAGGAAATAATGAAAATGGAAAAAGTGAAATCCTAGGTCTTGCGGTTGGAACAGCTCTGCTGTATGTAGTTTGGTCTGGTGTGCTGAGCTAACAGCAATCAATGACTCTCAGCAGTGTATAGACAGTGCTAATTGAACTCAGAAAATGACCTTTATTGCAGACTCTGCAAGGTAGACTGAAAAATGGGAACATGTTTGAAAGTAGAAGGGCCAAGAAATTGAAAAGACTAGGTATGGGCAGTAAATGTATTTACTCATCGTATAATCTGTATTAAAATAGTAAATTATATCTAGCTGGGTATTTCTTTAAAAGGAAGTAATTTCAAGAGGCGGTCCTAAGATGCAGCATTGAAGGCCCCAATGTTGGTTTGGCCTTATTGACATTTAGGAATATTTTTTGTATATTCCGCTTGTTTTGGTAGTGAAAAGATAAAAGCTGTTGGGCGTCTTATAAACACATAGTGAAGGATTTTTTGAAAGGTGGCTGATGGCTCTGAAAGGCTATATCAGCCTCTTTAATTCTCTAGTTTTTTTAAAGGTTCTACCTCTCCCACCATGCGCTAGTAAAATTGCAGTCTGAAGTTTCAAGGAGATTGGCTTAGATATGAAAATGTTATGTACTTGGTCAACAAATTTGCTTCTAGCCTGATGGGTTAGTGGCCTACCAAATATATATATATATTTATTTATTTGTTTGTTTGTTTGTTTGTTTATTTTGCAACCTCTCTTTCCCAAATTGTAGGCCTGTCAAGTGTGGTATTGGCTTCATATCTGAAATATTGTTAGTTTAGGAGGTGGTGGATATATTGTACTTTCATGAGAGAGTTTTTTAGCACCCTTCTTCTTCTAAGTCTTTTAAAAGGACTGAAGCTAATGCTTCAATAGAAAGAAGAAATTCACTTTTAAGCAAGGGATTTGGGAACTGAACCATTCCTGTCTGGTGAATGCAAGCAGGGGAATACTGGAGAATTGATGCTAGCTGCCTTCAAGGAACCTATTATGAGACCTCTGCTCAAGAAGCTTCATTGAGGCTGGTGTTGTCAGTGAGGCTGGTATCCATCCAGTCTTCCTTTTCTGGTGGCTCTGGCTTCTGACTGGGCAGTAGAAATCAGTCAGGCTTCAGACTTAGGAAGGAGACTAGTTTCCTTAGGAAGGAGCCAGGTTTCAGACTTGGTTCCATTGACAGAGATTTTTCTCTTGTCAATGGGTGATTCTTTTGGGTCTGTCAGCTGCTTTTGCCGCAACTCACAACCAGGCTTCAGCGACACATCTGTCCTTGCTGGAGGCAGCAACCGGTATTGGAGGTTTGCAAGTTCAAGGTTTTATAAAAGAGGGAGTCCCTGGTTGCTCAGGTAGTAGCGGAAGCTGAGGGCGCTCGGTCATGTGCATCTGACTTTGTCAGATATGGACCTTGCCTCAGAGGTGCTTTCTTTGCTTTCTTCATGATAGGCTGCAGAGAGCACTTTTGGGTAGTTTCTCTTTTACCCGGAGGCAGGGCACTATTGGGGTCTGTTTTATATTCCTTCTATGTGTGCAGCAGGGAGGGGGAGATAGAAGCTACATTGTCCATGGATCTGTGTTTCTTACATGTCAGACTTGGCAGGTACAGTGCAATGAGTGATTTGGTGCCTGAGAGTGGGAAATGGATGAGGCTTGCTGAGGTAATATTGATAGGATGTGGGAACCAACCAGGAACATTAATGAAGATGACGTCCATCCAGTGGAGGCAGCAACCGGTATTGGAGGTTTGCAAGTTCAAGGTTTTATAAAAGAGGGAGTCCCTGGTTGCTCAAGTTACTTTGTCAGATATGGACCTTGCCTCAGTTATCTATACCTGAGTCTCATGTCATGGTGATGACAATAGGCATTCGGTATGAGGCTGTACCATGAGACTGCAAGGAAGCTGAAGTTAATAGAGCCACTAAAGACTTCTGTTAAACAGGGTTTCACTCTGGGAACATGCAGCACCACGTTTGATCTGAGGAAGTGGGTCTGGCCCACTAAAGCTCATCATCTAATAAACCATCTTGTTAGTCTTTAAAGTGCTACATAGTCCTGTGTTTTGTTTCAGCTACACCAGACTAACACGGCTACATGTCTATCACTATTCTGTAATACACAGTAACTGTCTTCTGGCTGCCAGGTGGTGTTCAAGGTGTTGGGTTTGACACACAGTTAAAGCCTTAAGCGGTTTGGGACTAGAAGGCTGCATCTCTTCCCATAAAAGCTCATACCATCTACATGTTTTGTTAGTCTTTAAGGTGCTGCTACACTATTCGTTGTTTAAGTTTTTTCCAGTTATAGACTAACTCGGCTACCCCTCTGAAACTGCTGTATTTGTGGTCAAGCACCTAGCACGTCTAACTCCTGTTTTTCAGGAAAAAAAGGGGGGGGGGGTGGAAGCAGTGTTGTGGGAAGGATGTCTGACTTTGGAACTCCCTCCCTACGTCATTGGAGTCTAGATTTGTTAGCTGGCCGGATAGTGCAAAGCCGGTCACTGCTCCAGGCTTTTGATAAGGAATAGGCTTTAACTTGTTGGTCAAATGTGTGTGGATGTTGTGTTGTACTTGGCGGGGGAGAGTGTGAATACTATGCATCTGTATGGTTTTAACTCGGTGGCTTATTTTGAATTGTTCTTATTTAAAGGGTCCCAGTTAAGTTGTAATATAGTCGGTTAACACAACAAAGGTTAAAAGCAATTTCAGAACCTACACCTACCAGTGTCTGTGGCTCTACTATCACACTTTGCTAAACTTTAAAATGCTTTTCTGTCCCCAGTTGTGTGAATGACCCATGCAAACTGGGGGCTGATCCACTTCACATATGGAGCAGAGACAACATTGTCAAAGTTGACTATATGCAAAATGCTTCCTCTAGGCAGCATTAACAAATTGGGAAAAATAAAAATAACTGTTATTGTCTAATCTTTCGGTGATAGTTATCTTAGGGGGCTACATATAAAACCAGCAGATTTTTATATGTAGCAGACTCCTTAAAAAAGTGCATGTTTGGATTTTTTTTTTTAAGTTGAAAGCCCCTTTAGTTCTTGTACACTATCTGGAGCAATGGCTGTGCATTTATTAAAATATATAAAGTCTCTTCAATGATTGCTTCTTTTTTTGCAGTCCTTTGTAATGGATTGATTGCCCTTTCTGAAATTTTGTTTAAACAAGATTGTTGGGAGGCCCCAAACAGATGCTATTAAAGGCTTACTTTAATTGGTAAGATGGACTGTAAAAAAATGGAATTTGCTTCTTTCTCTGTATATGTGGGTCTCTGGGTTTTGACATTATGAGATGCAAAGTCTCATCATGTGCTCATGTATAGAATGTGGACAGTATCACTGTGAGTAGGGATCTAATTACATCACCTTTTTTGTGTAGAAATCATACAGAGATGGACATTGCTTGCAATGATGTATTTTAAAGGTTCAAAGTGGCATCATCAGGACACAAGTGAGAAGCCTTGCCTTGCAGAAGAGAAGCCTTGTCTTGCACAGTGCACAAAGTCAAAACCACTGTCACGTAATGAAGGGTCACCACTGTCTTCAAATAGACTTTTGAGAAGATACAACTTTGATTCCTTTAGAACCTGAATTTCAAACAGGTTTTCACTTTGGGGGCCTCTCCTGGCTGATTGTTGGTGTGATCACAGCTTTAGTTGCAAATGCGTTACGGGAATGAACGAACTGAGGCTCTGTTTGCAGTTGCCATGTTGCTGCTAAATCCTAGCAAATGGATGGATCTCCGCTAGCGACATCCACTCTTGCTTGAAAAGTAGAGTTCCAGCTGTTTGCTCTAGATAAGAGAACTCCAAACATTGAGCCTCGGGACACAGAAAAAGTCTTTAATTCTCGCGTGTTGTTGTGATCACAGCATTAAAATGTTGCATTCATGATAACGATAAAATGATCTTCCTGCTAATTGAAATCAGGCTTTTGAAACAATCCACCTGGCTTGGTTGGCCAACATTTTTGCAATAAATGGGACATTTTCCTACGAAAGGTGAATCCTGCCACCTCTTTCACACTGAGTCCCCTGAAGCCCTGTGATCAAGGGTTTGTAGGTTTGGGTCCTAGGATTGGAATTCATTTGGTATTTAAAGACATGTAGTTTCTTCCTCTAAAGAGGCATTCAGTAGCCATTGGCCCACCTCATGTGGAAATCAATAAAACAGTACCCAAAAGGAGATCTCTGGCATTTGTATCTTCAGTGGAATAGCAAGTAGAACATGTCCTGTCAGCTGTTTAGCTGAACACTAATTTCAGCCTGGAGTAATAAAGGCTATACTTTCATTACAGTGTTTTGGTACATCTTGAACCTCCCTGATCCGGCACCCTCGCGACTTGATTGGTTCTTAATCACGGAATTTGCCAGACCAGGGGAAGTCACTGCACCAGGGGCTCCGTTTTTCCTCCTTAGCTGTCCTGTACACTGCTCTCCCCACAGGGCAGATAGGGGGACCTCCCCACTGCTCTGCTGACAGCTGGGGGGTCTGCTTTTGCCCTGCTGCTCTGCTGCCACAGTGGGGGCTCTGTGCTCTCCCAGTGGCTCCTGCCGCCGTCCAGGGCTCCATTGTCTTAATCCCCTAGTCTGGCGATGCTCTTGGCCGGATAGGGTCATCTCAATGATGCCAGACCAGGGGTGTTGCTGTACGAGGGAAATACAGATTACAGAGTTTCAACCTGTAATTTCAGTAACCAAAAGACTGATTTATACATGTCACCAAACCTGCAAGATGGAATTAAAGACCCACTCTATGCACATATTAGTGATTATCTTTAATAATCCCTGTCTTATAAAAGACTTTACCCATATGTCTGTTCTTGTTATCATCTTGCTCCCCATTGGATGGAATCTGTGCTCCTGCCTTGAGTTCCCTTCATGAGTGTTCCACCTGTTCTCTGGCTTCTTTCTGGGTGTCCACTCTCTTTCAGCTCTACTTCTATCAGGAGAGCAGTCATGTGGGAATTACAAGCACTTAGAAGGAAGGGCAGCTGCAGATTTATCACTGATGAGAAGTTTTAAAGAGTGTATCTGGCTGGTTTCTCCACTTGTGCCTTCTAAAATCATTACGGAAAATAAGAGAAAACGAATGTATTTTGTTTTCTGTTCCCTAGTTTACATTTCAGACATTAACAATAAGAAATTATATCTATTTTATAAGCCTCTTACAGGTTAATATAATAGTGATTATAGATTTAAATATCTTTCCAGTTTTCAGTCTGTGTAGATATTTTAAAAGAATTGAAAAGCTGAAATACTAAAATTCAGTTTAGTTCTGATCTCTCTCTATGGCTACGTCTAGACTGCAAGCCTCTTTCGAAAGAGGCTTTTTCGAAAGATACTTTCGAAAAAGCTTCTTTCGAAAAAGAGCATCTAGACTGCAATCTCTTCTTTCGAAAAAGTGAGCCGCTTTTTCGAAAGAGAGCACCTAGGCAGTCTGGATGCTCTCTTTCAAAAAAGCCCTGTTTGCATTCAAGAACGCCTTTTATTGAAAGAGCACTTTCGAAAAAAGGCGTTCTTCCTCGTGAAATGAGAAGTACTACCGTCGAAAGAAAAGCCGAGTTCTTTCAATTTAATTTTGAAAGAACGCAGCTGTAGTCTAGACGCAGGTGAAGTTTTTTCAAAAAAAGGCTACTTTTTTCGAAAAAACCCTGCAGTCTAGACAGAGCCTGTGTGTGTAAATCTCACAGTGTAGCTTTAAGCTGTTAAAAGAAGAGTTGATTTTATTGTGATCTTAGATTTTTCTTCTTTGACATGAAACGTTCTATGCTTTTGTACAATAGGGTGTGAATAATTGTGTGTAGATTATGGTGCTTTATTAAAGGAGAACATACTTTGCAATTTCCACACTAAATGGGCACAGCAGGGACCAATTTCCTGCACTTCAGACCTGCTGATTTAGCCAATATAGTAGGTTAAGTGGCAGCTTTACATTTCTAGAAGGATCACAAGGTAGTATAAAAACAGTGCTTCTGTAGAGCCACTTCACTGTGCTGAATTTTAGGGCAGCCAGTTATGAGCATGGGGAATACAAATTCAAAAAGCAGTGGTAGAAATAACACAATGTCAGCTCCTTCAGAGCTGTCTTTTTGTAGCTCTTTTTCAAGAAAATGGAATGAGAATGTCTTTTTGGACAATGAGCTCTTGACGTCCAAGATTTTGTCTGCTCTCCAGCCACGGTCAGAGAAGAGGGGTTTGAGATCAGGTAATTTACAGTGTGCACCTCATTTTTTGAGCACCAATTCATTTTTTGTCTCTGTAGCAGCCTCTCTGAAGGAGCAACCCCGAAGTGCCCTCCTAGGATCGGATGGCACCCCTGTTCTGTCTCGGAATCCCGGCATGACTGTCACACACAGAGGAAATTCTCTGTCTGCATTGAATACTGCTGGTTCAGTTAATAAATTTGGGTAAGTCAATGGCTTCTCATTTAAGCCACTTTGTTTTTCCGACTTGTAAAAACAGTTACGGAACTAAATCCCTTCCAAATTAAGGACAAGCATTTACTGCAAGCTGTAGATGAATCCTTTCTGCTGAATAGCATTTAGAAATGCTCTCCAGACCAGACAGCTGTTTGTTTCTTTATGAAGATTCACAGTCTCCATAGTTTCTTTCTGCTACAGAGAGAATACCATAGATTATGGTGAAACTTGGATTGTGGCATTTGAGTATCTCTGTCCAAGCTTTATTGCCCATGTAAATTGTTTTCCTCTAAGTCTGTAGAAACCTAGGAATAGTTTCCTTTCCTCTTTTTTTTTTTTAACAATCCTATTTAAATTGAGATATGCCTTGATTAATATAAGGAACTATTTCAAAGCTATGATCTCATTTTTGTTTGCCACAACTATGTGTTTCATTTATTGATGGAGCTGTTTGTTTTGGTTGTATATAGGGAATACATTGACCTATCCAGCTCATCAGCAGAAAATTTGGTGCCTTTTAAGGTGTAGCACTAAAAGTTGTACAAGAGTTAATTGATCAAGAGATGAGAACAAGGGACTTCTAATTAAATTGGAAATGTATCCATTAAGTTTTATTGTTTATTACCAAATTGAATTTGACTATTTAATGTAAAAAAGCCAGAATAGTCTTTGTTCTCACTTATTAACTCCATAATAAAGGAAGAATGCAAGTTAAAACGGTTTGATATGGAAAATTATGTTTTTCACTCAAAATTAACATTCTGTTTTAAAGTAACACAGTTGTATAACTTTTTTTGGCTATTTAGACCAATCACAGGAGAAATGGATGAAGCAGATTCAGGATTTATAAAATTTAAGCAGACATCAGATGATCTTGTTTCCCTTGCACCTTCGACAACAGAATCCATTTTTCTGGAAGGTATGGAACTTTTCTCTCTTTTAAGGATTTCCTGCTGGTGTTTGACAAATTGCATGGCAGAGAAACTGTTAATTTTTTGTACTCTTTTTAAGTTTATAAACATTATTGGAGGATCTGACCAAGGCATAATCTGGCACTTAGTTATGTGGAAATGTGTTTTTTGGTCTAGATACATACTTTTCCTCTCTGAGAAGTGAGATAGAAACAGATGCTCGTGAGTTTGAGGCAGAATCTTGGAGTCTTACAGTGGAACCGCCTTATGCGGCGAAGCAAGAGAAACCAGTTACAAAAAGGCAAGATGTCATTTATGGTAAGAACAATTTATTTTTCTCACTTACAGAATGTTGCTATTTTAAAAAAAAGTCTCTTACTATGTTGAATCGTATTATAGGATTCAGTGATTTTTCTGCTTCCTTGTTTTTCCTTATGCTTAGAAGCCAAAATTGTGTAAAGATTTCCCTTCTTTAGCTCCTAGACATGCTCCGTACTTGAGTTTTGATTCAGTGATATTGTTCAACAACTTTTGGTTTTCAGATTGCTAATGTAAGCTGTGAATTCCACTTCTAAAGCAAGGCAATATCTTCAGCCACCACCTCAGGCCATGATATGGGGATATCCTAATCTAATCCAGGTCAAGATTGGTCACTACCGAAAATTAGCGTATATAACCCGCGGGTTATACACGTTTTTACAAATCCCGCCCCTCTTCCCCACGGGGTATACATGTCTGCGGGGTATACAAGTTTATTTTTACCTATTAGAATTGGGTCTGCTCCGCTCCGCTGCAGGGAGGGCCTGATAAGCTTCCAGCGTGTTTGCGCTATGCTCTCCGTTCCCCGGCCCGGAAGAGGGTGGGTTGCGCCTGGCTGCGGCTGCGCAGGGCCTGGGCGCGAGTGCGGCTTTCATCCCACAGGCCAGCCAGCTTGCCTGCGCTGCGCTTTCCGTTCCCCCCTAGTATGTGCAATTACTGTGAATTAGCCTATAGATAACCCGCAGACATGTATAACCTGCCGGTTCTAAGGTTTTTTTTTGTTTGTTTGTTTGTTTGTTTTTTTTAAACACAGCAAAGAAAAACCGTGGGTTATACACAAGTGAGGGTTATATATGCTAAAGCACGGTACTTGGTTAGAAGATTTCTGAGGAAACTGTCGGTACCCTAGTAGAGTAGTGAACTTCCTTCAGTGCAGACCTACTGCCCCAGAATGGTGTTTTTAAGCACATCGGTGTGACTTGTAGGCACTCTCCTTCTAATGAGACTCAAAGCTGAATCTATGACTTCATGTTCTTAAGGATCCTGTGATTTCTTTTGCAAGAGTAGGCTTGTCAGCCCTGTTGTCATGGCCAAATAACAACGTATAATCCTCAAACTCCCTTTGTGGTTTTTAATTGGATTATATAGAGTCTTCATTTCTCCTTCTAGAAACCCTTTTAGGAAGTGTTTCTGGTTCATACTGCTAGCTGTGATTCCACCTCAGAGATGAATGAAGATATTTTTTTTATCCTGCAGTTCTTTACGGATTATGTGAATAGGGATTATTAAGGCTGTCAGGGGATCTTGATGACTGTTTCTGCATTGCATGCTTCAAAATGTTTACAGCTGCTTAGTGATACAGACGACAGAGTTTTAGACACACTAGAAAATGTAGCTGTCGGATTTGCACTCTCCTCAGAGTTGTCGCATATTCCGTTTTTAGTCCGATAAGATCAAGTCTTTAGCGCGCTCATGCTGCTACATTGCTTTATAGTCCTTGGCACATGTTGGTGATGCTACTTTATTCATGTTTGGGAGAAATCCAAAAGTACCATAAATGAGATTTCCATAGGCATAAGATGGCTTAGCTGGGAGGGTGTATCATGTTTCCGGTTTGTGTTCTCCTGAGATGTTTAGTTTACAACAAGGAGTCCTATGGCATCTTAAAGAGTAACAGATTTATTTGTCTCAGAGGGGTAGCCGTGTTAGTCTGAATCTGCAAAAGCGACGAGGAGTCCTGTGGCACCTTATAGACTAACTGAAGTGTAGGAGCATAAACTTTCGTGGGCAAAGACCCACTTTGTCAGATTTATTTGGGCATAAGCTTTCCTAAGCAAAGGCCCACTTTGACAGATGCATTGGAGTGGAAATTATAGAGACCGGCATAAATATACTAGCATGTGAAAAGAAGGGAGTTATCTTATCAAGTGGAGGCTAATTCAGTCAGGGTGGATGTGGCCCGCGCCCAACAATATAGATTACAGTAGTTCAAAGTCTCATAGGCTTTGACAGAACCTGTCTGTCTCCACCTGACATCTGTAAAAATAAGGATTTTTGATGGTTGCTGCAAAATTTAATGGAAAGCTCTCCCTCTGAGGAATGCACAAATTGAAAAAATGCCCATCACTCTGGTGTCTGGGCAATCGTCACAGTATCCAGCACACAACAATATAATACCATCTGTGAGCTTCTCTTGCCATGCATTCGGAGTGAACTACAATAGCCTCGTTGTCTGCTTTGCTAGCGACATGCGCCAGCATTGTGGCAAGTGGCTTGTGAAGGCTGCTGATTGTCACCGCCTACTAGGTGCGTGGCCGGCTGCTGCCTAACGTTTCTCAATGTCGGCTAATGTTGTGTTTTCCTCTCCAGAGCTTATGCAGACTGAAATGCATCATGTGCGGACACTAAAAATCATGCTGAAGGTATACTCCAAAGCACTGAGGGAGGAGTTGCAGTTCACAAACGCTGTCATCAACAGAATCTTTCCTTGTGTGGACGAATTGTTGGAGCTGCATGGGCAATTCCTGTTCCAATTAAAGGAGCGACGGAAGGCGTCCTTGGAGGAAGGCAGTGACCAGAATTATATTATCCAGAACATTGGAGACCTCTTGGTACAACAGGTGTGAACTAAGCTCTAATAACATTGGCTAATGCTGTATTTAACTTCTAAGCACTTAACAGTAATGCTAAAGTTGGGCTGTATAAAGTTTGAAAGTAGTGGGCCCTTGACAAAAGACTGGGTTTAAAGTGCTCTTTCCAAAACCATGTTTGTCTTTTGTGTCCAGAAACACAGCTGGTCACTAAGGCTACGTCTACACGGCACAGTTATTTCGTAATAAGCTATTCCGGAATAGCTTATTTTGAAATAGCATGCCTACATTGCAGGGAAACCTCAAAATTAGTCCGAGGCAGGCTTCCCTAATGTAGACATGCTCTCTCAATTTAGAGCCCCAGGAGGAATAACTTAGAATAGCCCTGGCGAAGGCCTATTTCAAAATAGCAGCAATGGAGTGTCTATACACGCCTTATTTTGAAAGAGCTATTTCAGAATAGGCGTTAGAATGAGGTTTACAGAAGTTGGAATAAGCCGTCAGTTATTTCGAAATTATTTTGAAATAACGGAATTGCTGTGTAGACGCTCGCATAGATATTTCTGAATAACAGCCATTATTCGGAAATAACTTTGCTATGTAGACACACCCTAATTGTGTAAAATGTTGAATGTTTTCCTTGTGTATTTATGTACAACATGGCATGCTGGGGGGTGGGAGCATGGGTCTGCTGCTTGTCCTCTACAAAATTAAAGCCGCCCGCCAATGATGTCCTTCAGGAGAGAACCCCAATATCACTCCTGAACTCAGTTCTCCCGTGTTGGTTGCTGACCCTCTTGAATCATAAAGGACCTTGCGGCAACTGGCCTTCCCTGTTTTCAGCTACTGTATACACTCTCCTTGACTTGGAATGACCTGACAGAAACACTTACATCATCTCCTATTTGATGCCCCTCCCTCCTGCCCTTTCCAGGCTCCAAAAACTCCCCCGAAGCTGAATCCCAGAAGCTCTTACATTTGTTGTCTTTCTGACTAGAGTAAATGACTATTTCAGTACGTCGTGTTTGAGCCACTCCACTTTCTCAACCTCTCTGCTATTTCTGGTGCAAGAGGAGAATCTGGAATAGCAAAGAAATTTGACCTGATAAAATCCAAATGTATCCATAGCCAAGCTCTCTGGGAGTAACAGGCTGCATTTTAACATGGCTAATTTAATGTCCTTTCCAATTAGTTTTCAGGTGAAAATGGAGAGAGAATGAAAGAAAAATACAGCCTGTTCTGTAGTGGTCACAATGAAGCTGTCGGTCACTATAAGGACCTGCTGCAGAGCAACAAGAAGTTCCAAAACTTAATAAAGGTAAAAAAAAAAAAAAACCAGCCAGTGACCCAATCCTCCCCCATTTCCAAACAGCAGACTCTCTCAGCTTGCTTGGGCTTGGCTTTGAACCAGACTTTAAAGCTGAAAGACGTGTGTGTGTGTTATGTCTTATGAGCAATTTGCAGGTAACAAGGGCGTGTGTGTGTGTGTTATGTCTTATGAGCAATTTGCAGGTAACAAGGGCCACTGAGAGGCCTGGTGGGCAGAGCACTGGACTATGGCTCAGAGATCTAGGTCCGGGGTCAGCAGCCTGTGACTCCAGAGCCTCATGTGGCTCTTTGGCTGCCCACATGCAGCTCTTCGGTTCCTCTTCCAGTCACTTGAGAGCTCCGGCAACAGGAGGGGGCACGGGCAGGAGTCTCTGCTCATGGCTCCTGCCAAGCAACCGTCCCAGCATTTCCCATTGGCCTGGAATGGGGAACTGTGGCAATGGGTGCTTAGAGATGTGATACTGGCAGAGAGGGGCAGTGCTCAGAGCCACATGCTTCCTGCCACTGGGGCCACAGTTGCCCCTTTCAAGAGCAACATGAGGCTGGGGCAAGCAGGAGCCTGCCTTAGCCCCGCTGCACTGCCAGCTAGGGGCTTCCCAGTAAGTGCTGACCGTCTGGGTACACCAGTGGCGACCCATTGGGGTTCTGTATGTGGCCTGCGAGACATTTTGTTTACTGCTGCCCATGTGCAAGATTCTGCTGGTTTCCGTCCGCGTGGGTTTTTTTTCCTGCCAGTCTTACTAAAGTGGCACACACGTAAGGCCAAGGCACGTGAAGCAATGTGCGGGCTGATTGCACACAATACTGAGTGTGAGAGCCATGTGCTCCCTCTGCATCCAATCACAGTGCTGCTACGGTTCAGTGTGCACAGCCCGCAAATTCTGGGTGTGCAAGCGTAGTTAGCAAAACTGCCTCATCCCAGGAGACTGTCTTGGATATGACAATCTTGTAGCCCATTGAGATGGAGGGCTACTCATGCGGCCCACTCACTAGCCTAGGTTGCCCATCACTGCCACACACCAACTTCCAGCCCTCTTCTGAAGCCAGCACCTCGTTCTATCCCCCACCCTTAGCCCCCTCTAAGAACCAGTATCCTGAACCTCCTCCTGCACCCCAAGCTCCAACCCTGATGCCCATCCCAGAGCTTGCTGTCTTTAGGTATATGTACAAGTAGCTTTTCACACGACCAAAATATTTGGAGAGCTTCATCAAAGACAAAAACAAAGAAAAGGTTCCTCCTCTTTGAAAGATTGCAGACGCTTAATCTGAGTTCTGATCCAGGCTCTGCCACTGCTTGTCTGGGTGATCTTCGGCAAGTCACTTAATCCCTTTAGCCCCATTTTAAAGATGAGGAAACTGAGGCGCAATCATTCTTTTAGCTCTACCATAAAAAGCAGTATATAAAAAACTAGGTACCACTGTTGTTATAGTTTTGCCCACTGTGACATCTTTCCTCAGTCAAGAGACTAGCTCCACATCTCCTGCACATTGGAAAGTACAGCCTAGCATAGGGAAAACAAGAGAAGCTGGTATTTGGGAACATAACGTAGCCAATGTGGAAGGAGTTAACCTGAACGTTAAATGATCGGTGCATGATTCAGAAAGATGGAATTTTCCAAATTTTAGTGTTCACTGATTCTGAGTACTTCCAAGTATTGATCTAAATTATAGATCCAGTTTAGGTGATGTCTTTTACAAGGAACAATTCATTACTGACAATAATTTAAATAATGAGTTTAGAGGTGCAGTGCATTCTATTCTCTGGGAAGAGAGGATCCATGAATCTATAATCCATTCTGCTGCAAGGATCCTAGAGTACCTGGAATTGGACAGACTGTTGGGATTTTGCTGCTTTCATTCATAAGTGGATCTGTATTTATTAGCATTAAATTCCAGAAATACCTCTACACCATTCAGTAGCAAGGTTAATTCAGTACAGTTTTACTGTCGAATCTGATTAGAAGATTTAAATATATTTAAAAAGGGAGCTTATTAAGAAAGGAAATCAATCATTCAGTGGGAAATCCAACACAAATTGCAGTTGTTTTTTGCTCTGCTTTGGCCAGGTCTGTTTGGCACTAGCTGGAAATAACCTATTTTAAAAATATATTTTTCCTGTGATGCAAGTCCAAGTAACATCATTGGTTGGCTGGGTGTAAGGGGTGTCCATTGCTAGTTTGTGGTTAACACTAATGATGCTGTGGTGCAAGAATAGCCCCAGGGTCCTATAGTCAGTGGAGAGCTTGTTGCACAAAAGAGAAATTTCAAGAGGTCAGGAGTGTGTAATTGGGGACGGGAAGGAGATGGAGGGCTTGTATCACAGCATGCAGTTTATGCCACGTCTAACTGTTTTTTTTCCTCCCTAGAAAATAGGTAACACTTCTATTGTGAGAAGACTTGGTGTCCAGGAATGCATCCTCCTAGTCACTCAACGCATTACAAAGTATCCAGTGCTGGTAGAGCGTATTATTCAGAATACAGAAGGTAGATTATCTCTTGAGATGCCCTGTAATATCTGTCCACCCCTTTCTCAACATGGAGGGTTGTCTAGGGCACCCTTTAGACCCCACCCCTTCACTCCTTGATCAGTTGAAGGGATAATTATTGAGCCACAAAAACAACAGGCTCAGGCGCTGCATTAAATTAACTCTAAAGTGGTGTCCAACCAGTTCTGAAGTAGTAAGCCACTATCGAGGCTACTGCTATAGCGAACTAGCCACACGCAACCGGCCAACTAGCCACATTGTTCAAGCCAACTAGCCACACTCAACCGGCCAAATAGCCACATGTGGCTAGTGGCTTGTGTGTTGCACACCGCGTCTGTTAGGCTACCTCCAGACTGCATCCCTCTGCCGACAGAGGGATGCAAATCAAGCACTTCGAAAGTGCAAAATGAGCCCGGGATTTAAATATCCCGGGCTTCATTTGCATACTCACATTCCAGTGCTGTGCCGATCACGCGCTATTTTGAAAGTGAAATCTAGCCGTGGTTCTGCCAACAGGTGGGAGCTTTCCCAACAGATCCTGTACTCCCGTACAAAAAATGAGGAGTACAGGATCTGTCAGTAAAGCTCTCCGCTGTTGGCAGAACCGCAGCTAGACTTCACTTTCACTTTTGAAATGGCGCATGATCGGCACAGCACCGGAACGTGAGTATGCAAATGAAGCCCAGGATATTTAAATCCCAGGCTCATTTGCACTTTCTAAGTGCTTGATTTGCATCCCTCTGCCGACAGAGGGATGCAGTCTGGAGGTAGCCTTAAAGACTAGAAATCTTGGTATTTTAGCCTCTAAATTTGACCAGAATTTGATGCTTTGGCTTTTTTTTTTTTTTTTTTGGACTTTATGCTACAAAGAAACACTTTGCGTTCCTAAGCACAGAGCCTGTCACATTGGGTGGTGTTTGGGATTTGTTTAGAAGAAGCAATTCATGTCCAGGAAACCTAAACAACTTCCATTGTATGAATTATTTCCTTTATTTCTGTAGCAAAGCCAGACTAACCACCACTCTGCCTCTTTATAGCTGGCACTAAGGATTATGAAGATCTGTCCCAGGCACTCAGTTTAATTAAAGACATGATCACTCATGTAGATGCCAATGTAAATGAGTGTGAGAAGAGGCAGCGTCTTAGAGAGATTATGTCTAAAATGGAGCTGAAATCATCAGGGAAATTGAAGAATGGGCTGTTCTTCCGGAAGGACAAAATGAAGCAGCGGCGGCTCCTGCTGGATGGGATGCTGTACTGGAAAGCCGCATCAGGGAGGCTCAAAGGTAAATAAAAAGGCTGAAAAGGGAAAACCGCAACCGGAAAACCAACTTTCCATTTGCTTGGTAACTGTTTATTACTGATTGATTGACTCTAAAGTCAGATGGCGACAACCAACTAGTTCAATAGGAAATAGCACTTGTTCTATTCCTGATGTGTCCAATAAGCAACTCCGTGATGATACCCGGTAAGGTCCTTCTGCAGTTTGCTTATAATCTGTCTGATCCTCTGCCCAGTTCTTATGGGAAGTCTTTAGACAGATGACAAGACGTTGAGTCATACCTTTTTAGACTCCTGTGGAAAGACATTATCTTGTGCGAGCTCCGATTCACACTTCGAAAAATTGTCATGTCAACCTCATGACACCTTCCTTCCACAAACTGACTGACTGGCCAGAAAATCAAAACTGCTCCCATAAGCTGAACATGTCAACAACTTGGGTGCTGAAAAGTTACAAGGAGAAAGCTCACTGGTCTCCTTTAATGCAGCCTGAGGTATCTGGTGCCTACGGATTTCACGCAGTTCCATAAGATTTTGCTGCTGGGACAGAGACATGTTCCCTCATGAGTAAATAGCGTTTATATGTTAACATGGCTCAGGAAAAGTTTTCATCTTCAGATCTCATTGCAAATGTTTTAATATATTCTTGGAAAAAAGTGCATTCGATCAGGCTATGTATATGGCTATTCCAAATTAAAAGGAATAATATACCTGACATTGCAGTGCTGACCATATGAAAGGCCTGTGGAACAGTGTTTAGAATAGATGTGAACAATTAGCAAATATTTCCAGTTTTCCTCCTTGTCTTACAACTTTTTCTACTTTAAACCTAGGCTTTTCCTTAGGATGGAGTTCCTTAGAAATAATTACATGGAACTGCAGTTAGGTGTCTAATCTACAGTCTGATCTTCTGATGTAGGCTGTGCCTATCACTAGTGTTTGAGAAGTATAATCTATGCTAAGGGTATTAAATTGCAGATAATCAGCTAATCGAGTAGTTGATGGAATTTCCATTGACTACTCGATTAGTTGATGGGGGAGGGGGGGAACTGCAAAGCTGCAGCGGGGTCCTTTTAAGCTGGCTGGGACTGGTAACTGAGACAGGACACTGGGCTAGATGAACTGTTGGTCCGAGCCAGTAGGTTGCTCTCAGAAGGCCATTCCATACAAGACAATATAAAATAAATAAAACAAGGGCTGTTTTATGGCCTATTTGTATTTGCATATTCATTTTAGTAAAAGCGTCTATTTTGTTGTTTTAAAATAGTTGAGATTGGTCCTGCCTTGGGCAGAAGGCTGGACTTGATGACCTCCTGAGGTCTGATTCTCAAATGAAGCTGCAGAAAATGCTGGTCCTTGCCACATAAGCGAGGCCTAACTTGATACAGACGCACAGGTCCTTGATTATAATCTGTCTAGATAGGCTGCATCACAAAATATAGAATAGCCCTGAAAGGCTTCTGAGACTGACACATTCTCTGTAAGTCATCTGCACTGTAGCGTTAACTCAAGTGGTTGCTTTTCTGCATCAGTCTTTTGGCTTTAAAACCATTTCATTTTTCTCCTGTTGTCTTGGTAGATATTCTGGCTGTCCTGTTAACTGACATACTTTTGCTATTGCAAGAAAAGGACCAAAAATACACTTTTGCATCTGTGGTACGTATCTTTTTCTTCTTGATTAAAATATTTGCTCACAATAGTTGTGAAAGTGGCAGGGACTAAAGAAAGACTGGGCAGCAGTATTCATAGTAAATATTTGCAGTACAGTGGTGATCAAATTGTCCAACTGAGATTGAGGCCTCATTGTACTGGGGGGGTGCACAGACAGGCCGGACTAGTGTATGGAATGCAGAACCATATGTCAGCTGATGCAGAGACTCCGTCTCTGTTGGTTGGGAATCTGTCACCACTGGAAGTGGAGGGGTCACTGTACACAACAGAAATGTAAGAGTAAGGGGAGCAGTTTGTTCTAAGCCGGAGCTGGGCAATAATTTTTGAAGGGGGTTGCCACTCCAAGATTTTGGTAAGTGGTCAAAGGCTGCACTGTTCTATGGAGGGCGGCAGGGTCTGGGACAGAGGTTGGGTGCAGAAGGCAGCTCGAGATAGGGGATTAGGGTGTGGGGGCTCATAGGGAGTTTGGTGAAGGAGTTTGGTTATGACCTGGGGCAGAGGATTGGGGTGCAGGCTCTGGGAGAGAGTAGGGGTGCAAGAGTGGATTTTGGTCTGGAGGAGGGTTTTAGGAAGGGGTGCAGAGTCTGGGAGGGAGTTGTGAGCTGGGGCGGGAGCGTGTAGAGGGTTTGGGTAGTGATCTGGGGCAGGAGGAGGTGGTAGGGTTCCAGAGGAAGGCCCTGGCTGGGAAGTGCTTACCTTAGGCAGCTCCCAGCCAGCAGCCCAGTGGCGACCCTGAGGCACGCTACCTGCCTGCTGCAGGCCCAGCTGCTCAAAACAGCTGCAGGCTCCCTCCATGTGCGACTCTGTGCCACATACCCCTGGCCTTTCCGGCAGTGGGTGATTGGCCTGGGGGTGGAGGCGGCGTGAGAAGTCTCTTCCACCCTCTCCCTGCCTGGGGCATGTGGCACCTAGAGTGAGCCACCAGCTGTTTTGAGCAGCCTTGGGCTGTAGCAGGCAGAGAGCCTGCCGGGGTCTTGGTGGGGTAGGCGGCGGGATAGATCAAAAAGCTTGGTGGGCTGGATCTGGAAAATAAGAAAAATAAGATTAGAAAACAAACCAGATGTCTTGGGGTCACATAAGCTAAACCTGGTTCAGCCACCGAACTTTTCTCTTGGTTTGGAGCTTCTAGCCCAGGCGGACGCCAACTTTCTGAGGCATTGACTATGGTTCTGTGTTCTTTACATGGCTCCTCCTGGTTCTCTCCCCGTGGTTGAGCTCTGTGCAGGCAGCACATGAGGAGAAGTGCTAGAACCCTGCTCTGAAAGGCCCCTGCAAACTCCTCTTCAGAGAGGGGCACTTTGCAGCTCGTCTTCAGTGTGTTAATTTGAGGCTTGATGAAGGGAAAAACAGGGGAAGTGTTGACCTGTGACCAGGGTAGCCTCCATCCTGCTGGCAACTGATATTTCTTATGTAAATGTCATGAGCACTAATCCGTGTGTATTTAGACAAGTGCTCCAAATTGCTGCGGTAATGGATTTGCTGTTTTTTCAGGGCATTTCCTAGCTGCTCTGGGGGCAGTTGGTTAGTGAAGGACAGCTGTGGATATTTTAAGCTGACCAAAGTCCAGTTGTGACTGGAACAAGACTGATTAATTACAGTTTGCGGGGAGGGAGAAGGGTGTTTTGTTTGAAATTATTATTTACTTTGCTCTGATATTTTTTAGCGTATCAAGACTGGGGGTTGAATTTCTTTGCCAAACCCTAACACTTGACTTCAGTGGGATTCAAGCAAGCCCTTAAAATGTCAAGGCTCATATCTATATGTCTGGATAGGGTTGTTTTCTTGAATCAGGGTTCTAATGGTATTGTTACCACCCTGGGCTTTTTACATCCTATTCATCCATTCGTCATAGCATATGCACTGTTTGGCTTTTACAGTTCTGGACTAAACTAGAACTATTTCCCAAAACATGCTCATTCAGACTGAATGTTAAACCCAAATGTGATGCCTACAAAACTCAAGCTGGAGCATTTGGATTGTTGCCATTAGGAATCGTTGAATTTCCTCCCCTGCCCCATGTGACTCACAGCTTTTTTGTCCCATGGGACTGTTACTGTATTTGCAAATCCACTTCAGAGGCTCAATTCCTGCTACAGAAGAACCTAAATATCATGTGTTAGCATGCCGAGAGCATCCAGTCATTCATCGCCACCCCAAGTTGCTAATTTTTAGTAGAGGGTGCCTTGCCCGGTGGAGTACGGTCTGTCTATAGTCATGAATTCATCTGTTCTTGGCATCTATATGTTTATGGGATCTGTTTAAAATGAACTAAATATTAATCTTGCCTAGGTAAATTCAGAGGTGGGAGGAAGTGAACAAATCTGTCCAACTCTTTTACATTGTCCCGATAATCCCTGCTCATGAGCCAGCACACAGCCTGCAAGGGAGTGTGACAGTTGGCAAAACTTAAGATTTCTTGAGGTCAGTTATAGAAGTCCCTGCTGCACCCCCACCCAAGATTTATGCACATGGAAATGGAGCATGCTCAGCAGCCTGCAAAATCACTCCTTTCTCCCTTGTGACAGCTTATCTAAATGATGGACGTTGGCTGAAATACCAAGGGTCGCCATGGACACTGGTTACAAATATAACGCTTTTAGAAACCTTTTATCGCGTAGCGCTGCTGTTAACATGTTACATAAGAAGGGTTCTACCCACTGGACTGCTAGTTTCAGTTTCTTAGACCTGAAGATGACCCTGTAGCTTTGTCCTCTGAGCTAACTTGGCGCCAGCATTGCTTCCTGCTATTCTCTCCTTTCGTTTTTATTTTTCAGTCTGTTTTTATTACTGCTAAACAAAGCAAAGTCCAAAGTGGTGCATGCTGCTTTCCCTCATGGGGGACTTGGAAGAGCTAAAATTCATGAGTCACGTGTTTTTAGAATGTAGGTTCTTCAGACTCATCTGTGAAGTGCCCTGCCCAATATGAAAGATCTCTAGCAACAAAAGTGCACCCGTGCAGATTTTCTTAATTGGTCACAAGCAGACCAGAAACACTAATTCTAAAAGTGTTGTATGATCTACAGCAAACCTTAACACATCAACTTCCATTTTTGTTCCGCAGGACTCCAAGCCACCAGTTATTTCATTGCAAAAGCTAATTGTAAGAGAGGTAGCCAATGAGGAGAAAGCAATGTTCTTAATTAGTGCCTCATTAAAAGGACCAGAGATGTATGAAATTCATACCAGCTCCAAAGAGGAGAGAAATTCTTGGATGGCGCACATTCGCAGAGCTGTGGAAAGGTAAATTATGATTGAAAGTCAGAGGGTTTCATTTTCTGATCATGGATTTGATCTCTCAGCACAGCTAATAGTTCTGCCCGTGGGTGAAGATAAACGTCACATCCTTGCTAAGGAAAATACTAGTTGTGTGTGCGCCTTCTCTCAAGAGACTGGCTAGATTGGACTATCTGTCATGAGATGGCTTCTCTTTCCCGGGTCTATGGCCCGTCCCGCACACTCTACTCCCAGCTGTTGCCTGGTCCCAATTCTAGGGCCTGATGGGCAGCTCAACCTGAACTGGTCATTCAGAAAGGCTCGCTGGCCCTTTAAGGCCGGGTCCACCGACCCACTGGCCAGAATCAAGGAACCAAGTCCATAGCTGGCCCTTTAAGGCAGGTCCCCCGGCCGGTGGCAGCAAGACACAGGAAGCGGCTACCCCCTTGGTGGGTGCACCCAGGCCCACCCTACTGTACCGGGTCCCAGCCCTGGGCCCCATGAGTGGTAAGAGAACTCACCACTCCCTTGGCGGGGAATCCATCCAAAACGTGCTGAGCACTCCAGGGCAGGAGAGGCAGCTCCTGTCCCCACTTCCTACCTGATCCTGCGAGATAACGCCCCACATGCTCTCTCTGGGTCCACTCCTTCCCTGGGGGCTGCTTCTCCCTCATAGGCTGCAGGGGAAACGCCCCAGCTGGTGCTCAGGTCACTGCTGTCCGCCCTCTGATCAGCTGGCTGATGCTGGTCAGGAGCTCCCCCACGGAGGTCCGTCCTTCATCCCTGGCAGTCAGCCCAGGTTGAGTCTCCCTCCAGGCTTTTATACCTGGGCTGCAGTCTGAGCATGTGCAGCAGAGTCGTGGGGGCAGGGCTTCTGCAGCCAGGTGGGCCTTATTAGGCTCAGCTTTCCCAGTGTGGGGCTGATACACCCGGTCTCACCATCTCTTTGTGTCTTTGTTTTTGCTGTTGTGTTTCATGCTCTTTGTAAGAGAGGAGAAGATTGCTTTGCACATGCTTGCCTGAAGGAGGTAGATCACAGCAGTTGTGAGATGATGAGGGGTTTTGTCAGTAACTTCACCTGGTTAGAAGATTCAGCTTGCCTAGGAAGTGTGTTTGCTCTCTACCGGAAAGAGCAGCAGTGCTCTGTATTCAGGACACAAATAGGCTGCAGGCGAAGGCACCTCCCAAGCAAGGACTGCAGAATTTAGGCCAAAATGCTCGATAGGTTATCTGTTGCATGGATCAAAATCAATCTTCTTCCTCCTTGCATTGTTGTATAGCTGCCCTGATGAAGAGGAAGGAACGTTCAGTGAACCTGAAGAAGAAAGGAGACTGGCGGAAGCCCGAGTTGCTAAATTAAAAGAATTTCAAGGTAATGGGTTACACAGACATCCAGCGAACAGTATCGCTAGCTCTGTAACCCTCTTATTCTTGGTGGTCACATATTGACTAAGGCTGAGATCCTATCTCGTGATAATTTCAGGCAAACTACTTCTGTGGGATTATAGGTAAATTGGGCTTTGCCTGCAGTTAAATAACGCATCTAAAAATCCCATCCCACTTTTTGTTGAGATGTGAGAAAAAGGACAAGGGGGATGGAACAACTTCCATATGAAGAGAACTTAAAAAGATTAGGAATGTTCATCTTAACTATGAGGGACAGGGGCGTTGATGGAGGTTTGTACAATTAGCAATGGTGTCGATAATGTGAATGGAGAAGTGCAAGTTATTTCCTTCCCGTTACACAAGAACCCAATGCATTTCATTAGAACATAAGAATGGCCATATTGGGTCAGACCACAGGTTCATCTAGCCCAGTTTCCTGTTTGCTAACAGTGGCCCAGAGGGAGTGGACCAAAGACAATGATCAAGCAATTTGTCTCCTGTCATCCTTCTCCAGCCTTTGACAGAGGCCAGGGTACCATTCCTTACCCCCTGGCTAATAGCCTTTTATGGACCTAACCTCCATGAATGTATCTAGCTATTTTTTAAACTCTGTTATAGTCCTAGCCTTCACAGCCTCCTCTGGCAAGGAGTTCCACAGGTTGACTGTGCTCTGTGTGAAGAACTTCCTTTTATTAATTTTAAACCTGCTACCCATTGATTTCATTTGGTGTCCTCTAGTTCTTATATTATGGGAACAAGTAAATAACTTTTCTTTATTCACCCTCTCCATACCACTCATGATTTTATATACCTCTATCATATCCTCCCTCAGTCTCCTCTTTTCTAAACTGAAAAGTTCCAGTCTCTTTATCCTCTCCTCTCTTTAGACCCGTTCCAAACCCCTAATCATTTTAGTTGCCCTTTTCTGAACCTTTTCTAATGCCTAAATATCTTCTTTGAGGTGAGGAGGCCACATCTGTACGCAGTATTCAAGATGTGGGCATACTATAGTTTTATATAGGGGCAGTAAGATGTTCTTCATCTTATTTTCTATCCCTTTTTTAATAATTCCTAGCATCCTATTTTTTGACTGCCGCTGCAGTTTTCAGCCAGCTATCCACGATAACTCCAAGATCTCTTTCCTGATTAGTTGTAGCTAAATTAGTCCCCATCATATTGTACATATAGGCAGCATCTTTACCATAAGGAAGTACTTCTTCACACAAAACCCCCGTGGAACGTGTTTCTTGGGGATGTTGTGGAGACCAAAAATACAACAGGGTTTATAAAAGAACGTGATTAGTTCATGGAGGATCGGTCCATTTCAGCTGTCAGCCAAGATGGTCAGGGATGCAAACCCATGCTTTGAGAGTCCCTAAACTGCTGGGATTAGGCATTGGGATAAATTCCCCTGTAATTTCCCTGTTCTGTTCATTTCCTCTGTAGCACCTGGTCACTGGTCAGAGGTAGAACACTGAACTAGATGGACCATTGGTATGATGCAGTGTAGCTGTTTTTATCTGCTTCCTTTTCCGCAATTTGGCTCTTCGTGGCCGTTTACGATAGTAAGAGCTTCAAACAAACAGAAGAAATACAAAATAAAGCAGTCGTCCTGCTCCTGATCGTGATTTTACATACAGCATAGTGGAGGTTAAATTAGTTTTTTTACCCCCTCTAGACCGTCTGAGCATGAAAGATGATTTGATTTTGCAAAGTCTAAATGAGAAGCAACAGATTTATCTAGAAATGTCTGAAATGAATGGGGTTGAAGAGCTTTCCCAAGGATCCCAATCCAAACTCCTCCTCAGGGGGGAGACCTCAGAGAATCTGCAAGGAGAGGTGCTCCTGAAATCTGCGGTGACAGAAAGTAAGTGCAAAACAGGAACACGTGTTTGTGTGTGAGAGTAGATAAATATAGCAGTAGATAATATAGGTCTTACCTCTGAAGAGAGAGACGCTATGGAGTTTAATAATATGTAAGAAATTAGTTCTTGTGTAATGCTATTCAGACTTAAGAACCCTCCTGTAAAATGGGTGATGTGGACATTCCCTAAAAGTTAGAACATTTAAAAAAAATAGATTAAATTATGAAGACTAACAGGAGTCTGTTGAGATGGGTGCCCTGACAGCTTGCCACCATTGCAGTGAGATACCTTGCCGGAGTCCCAAATTAAGGGAGCGCTGGGTTAAGGGGGGGCTGGGCAGTCTCTGTGAGCCAGGAGGGTGTGCAGGCAGATAACAAACATCACCCGAATTGGTGGCTGCTCAGTGAAGAGTCATTGCTTTAGTCATCTGAAAGCCCAGGTGGGCCTAATAAGCTGAGTCCCCTTTTAAAGATGAGGGTCATCTTCACTGGTAGCTTTCAGTTTCAGAGTATGAGATAAGAACATAAGAATGGCCAGACAGTCAGACCTACGGGCCATCCAGCCCAATATCCTGCCTGCCAACAGTGGCCAATACCAGATGCCCCAGAGGGAGGGAACACAACAGGTAATCCTCACATGATCCCTCCCTGGTCACCCACCAGAGAAACAGAGGCTAGGGACACCATTCCTACCCATCTTGGCTAATAGCCATTGATGGACCTAACCTCCATGAATTCATCTAACTCAAAGGAAAATACATCTGTGCTGTGAAGAGGCTCTGTCTGGCCTCTGAATACTTGGCAGAGTTTTGAATGATTGCCTAACGAACATACCAGCATGGTGCAAATGCCTTATTATATGGACTTGACAATGACCTGTGCTTTTCTTGCCTAGTTGAGAAACTCCAGAACCTCATCTTCATGCAGTTAGCCAATGTGACTTATCGTTCTGAAGACAGCTGTGGGTCGGGACTGCCCAGGAGAGCTGAGACCTTTGGGGGATATGACAGCACCACTGCAATGCCAAACAGAAGTAAGAAATCAGGGCTTTGGGGATCCAGTGCAGATCTGCAGAGCCAGCATGTCAGTAGGAGGAGCTGGTGTTCTGATTTGGTAAAAGCCCGGGATGTTTTCCAGCACAGTCATTCTTGTTCTAGCCATTCTTGTTCACATCCCAGACAGCTCCCCCATTCATGCTTACAGAGGTGGTAGAAGGGGGACCTACCTAGCTACCCCAGAAGCATTAGAGTGGCTTTCAGTTATAATCCCAGTCTACTGGTTTTCAAATACCTTAGGGAAGAAAAACTGCCATCCTCTTCATTACCATGTTAGTGGACACTGGAAGTGAACAGTCAACAAAACAAGGTTGTAATGCAGGCTTAAGATTCATCTTGGTTAGTGAAGAGAACTCTGAAAAGTGATTAATACATAATTCGCAGCAGTCAGATGCTGTGTCTGCTGCCACTTGTGCTAGACAGCTGTTCAGGGCTCTCACTTTAGTAGTGGTGCCTCCTCCTGAAGCTCCCATTGTACAAGCCAAACAATATCTTGAATTGCTGCAAAACACAAACTGTTTGAATACAAACGAATGCCTCTTTATGAGCTCTGTGACTCTTCAAGAGCCCTGTCTTTATCTGCATCTACATGGCAGGGCTGGTAAATTTGTGCCTGGGAGGATAACGGAAACTGTTCCCTTGGTAGAAGTGCTGTGCTGGTAACATGGTATCATGAATGAAAATACCAAACACCACTGTTTCCTGATGGTCCCATTGTATTAGCTTACTGGGAAAATGCCATGCCGTGCCCTCTTCCCCACTATCTTTTATTTACAGCAGCTGTTTCAATGGCTTGTTCAAGGTAGCAGAAATAGCACTCAGTAGATCCTTTCCTTATGAGCAGCAGTTTTCTGTTCCTCTCCCCACAGTAATTGCTTCAGGTAAGATGTACATAGCAATGGACATAAGAGGGGATGGTTGTGTTGCTGGTTGTGTATTAATCTATACAGAGGCTATTTTAATTCACTCACTATTTCCCTTGGTTTGGTGTCTTCGGGTCTCACACATTTCTCAGATGGATCTAACACTCCCTGTTTACTCCTTTCATACATATTTTTAAATCAACTAAATGCAGATCTCTACAGCCTTCGGGTATGTCTACACTACCCCGCTAGTTCGAACTAGGGTGGTAATGTAGGCATACCGCACTTGCAAATGAAGCCCGGGATTTGCATTTCCCGGGCTTCATTTGCATAAGCCGGCCGGCGCCATTTTTAAATGCCGGCTTGTGCGAACCCCGTGCCGTGCGGCTACACGCGGCACGGACTAGGTAGTTCGAACTACCAAGCCATTCCGAACTATCTGTACGCCTCGTTCCACGTGGCGTACAGATAGTTCGGAATGGCTTGCTAGTTCGAAGTATCTAGTCCGTGCCGCGTGTAGCCGTGCGGCACGGGGTTCGAACAAGCCGGCATTTAAAAATGGCGCCGGCCGGCTTATGCAAATGAAGCCAGGGAAATTCAAATCCCGGGCTTCATTTGCAAGTGCGGTATGCCTACATTACCACCCTAGTTCGAACTAGCGGGGTAGTGTAGACATACCCTTCCAGACTTGTTCTGTTTGCCCATTACATTGTTTCATTTTTTTTACACCTTTTTCCTAACAGAAAGAACCCTGTGTTGCATATGTCTTCTCTCTGTGTGTTGACGGGGTTACTTGCTCTTTCAGGTGGTAGTTTTAAGAAGAAGGCCTATGGGAGCGACCAGAGGCTGAGGGACTGGAGAGGCCCTGCAGGAAGTTCAGATGTGCTACTCCAAGACCTTCCTCTTGATCCAGAAGAAGGATCTCGCACAGTACGTTTGTCTTCACTCGTCATTTGTAAATGCGTATCCTGGTAGTGCTGGATAGTCATGGTGGAGACAGCGGATAAGTCGCTGATATTGTCCTCTCCTTAGCCAGAATCCTACCTCATGTTAAATAATGTGGCTCTTTTAAGACTGTTGTTCTTTAGGCCTGAACTAGTGGTTTGTAATCTTACACTTGAAGTGCACAAATCTATGTGTATGTAATTTGGCAGGTTGTTATTTATAGCACTTGTCCATTCTGCACTGTAGGTAATGTTTACATGTAGTTTTGTGCATCTATTTCAAGCTGGAATTGGACTAAAATATGCCCCGTGTCCCTCCTCAGTGTGAGAACCCTTGGGGAAGCTGCCTTTGATTTAAGGCCATCAAGATACTGACACATCAGATGTGTCCTAATGGCCCCCATTCTCTTTACTGTCTTTTTTTCTTCTTCAAATTAATGTTCTTAACTCAAAACCAATTTGGAGGGTTTCATAGAATAGAACCGAATGTGACTCGCTGCTTTAATTTAGAGTCTTATCACCCATAGCCACCCAGTTCAAAATCGATGTTTAAAAAAGCAAAACAATTCTCTCTTGATATTTGAGACATAAATTGTTGTTGGACTGTTTTACTGTGTTGTTTACTTTGCACTTGTATGGAAAGGTTAAGGTCGACTCGGTCTGCAAACCCTTGCAGCGTTTTCAAATGAGTCTGACGCTGCACAACTGAAATAGAGCTCATCCAAGCGTCTCTGTTTAAACGATCGTTGTGAAAATTCCCTCTAAATGAGTCTCCTCCCGTTACAAAGCCAAGAAAAGGATGACAAAGTAGCCTGTGTGCATAGACATTGAGAAGAGCTTTGTGTGTGCTGACTTTTATCCACAGTATGCTCTATGACATCAGGTGCCTGTGTCTTTTTCCAGAGTGATGTAATGAGACTGGATCATAACAGCAGTTTCCAGCCCCTCCTGGAATCTGAGGTACTAGAATATGCTGAGCTTGGGCTTTAAGACAGTGTAAGGGGGAAGTGATTTTGGCTTCATAGTATACAAAGAAAATGTAGCATTTTAATGTCCCTGGAGACAGAAATTTGTCAACAGCCTGGAGCTTGCAGATATTTACTTGGCTATAATAAATGCAGAGAGTAAAATCCCATTTGAACGCAAAGGTGGGTCGTTGGGATAGTGAGCCAACTTCTCATTCAGCTTTGGAGAGATGGCTGCAGCAGCTGCGTATGATCAGCTCCGTGCTGGTGTGTTGGAGGAAACCGGCATCAAGTCACTAAGCTGAGGAAAATCTAACAGGAGGGTTGCTGCCCAGCATCCTGATGTGGTGTTAGTGGGTACTGTACTGTAGCTAGGAAACCCATTCATGCTGCCAAAACAAAAGTTGCCGCCATATCCTCCCCAGAGTCTAATGCCTTCCTCTTTCCTCAGCTTGTCCAACGGATACAGAGACTGGCACATTTGCTCCTCAGCCTTCAGGTAAAATGCTGCTATCCAGGGTATTCATTTGAAGCTGAACTAATCAGTCTACTGAAATGTATGTTGTAAGCATTGTTTATAACACCACAGGAAATGTCAGAGTTCTTGTATAGGCTGGGGAGGTTGCAGGAGCTGTCTGAGACTTGGATGTAGCACAACCAAAGCTGACCCCCGTATTTCAGAGGAAGTCTAGCCCTTTGGGCCTTGGGGCATTTCTCCACTAAGAAACTATTTCAGAATAACTCAAATGGATTTAGTAACTCCCAAAATAACAAAATCGAAGTAGTGTGCCCGCACTATGGGGAAGCCTCGAAATCTAGTCTGAGGCAGGCTCTGTTAATGTGGATGCGCTACCTCTGTTAATGTGGATGCGAAGTAATTAGTTGGAATTACTCTGGGGGGTAGTTGTTTCAAAATAGCAGCACTGGAGCATCCACACTAACAATATTTTGAAATCACCCAAAATTAGTGTTATTCCCTGAGAAAAGTAGGAGTACAAATTTCAGTATAAGTGGCCTGTTATTTTGAAATAATGGGCTTGGTGGTGTGGATGCTTCACTTATTAATTTGACGTAAGGGAGCAATTTTGAAATCTCTAGGGATGGAGATTCTACCACTCCCTAGATAATCCATTCCAGTGCTTCACCACCCTCCTAGAGAAATAGTTTTTCTTAATGTCCAACCTAGACCTCTCCCACCACAACTTGAGACCAGCTCCTTGTTCTGCCATCCGTCACTACTGAGAACAGCCTCTCTCCATCCTCTTTGGAACTTCCCTTCAGGAAGTTGAAGGCTGCTATCAAATCCCCCCTCACTCTTCTCTTCTGCAGATTAAACAAACCCAAATCCCTCAGTCTCTCTTCATAGGTCATGTGCTTCAGCCCCCTCATTATTTTAGTTACCCTCTTCTAGACCCTCTCCAAAGCATCCACATCCTTTCTGTCTTCTAGACCCTCTCCAAAGCATCCACATCTAGGGAACCAATTCCAGTGCTTCCCCACCCTCCTAGGGAAATAGTTTTTCCTAATAGCCAACCTAGACCCCCCCCCCCCCCTCGCATCCTCCTAATGCAACCTAATATACTATTAGCCTTCTTGGCTACAAGGGCTCACTGTTGACTCATATCCAGCTTCTCGTCCACTGTAATCCCCAGATCCTTTTCTGCAGAACTGCTACTTAGCCAGTCGGTCCCCAGCCTGTAACAATGCTTGGGATTCTTCCGTCCCAAGTGCAGGACTCTACACTTGTCCTGGTTGAACCTTATCAGATTTCTTTTGGCTCACCCTCTAATCTGTCTAGGTCACTCTGGATCCTATCCCTGCCCTCCAGCGTATCTATCTCTCCCCCTAGCTTAATGTCATCTGCAAACTTGCTGAGGGTGCAATCCATCCCCTCATCCAGGTCATTAATAGGTCTGTGTCTCTTGAGATTTATACCATGGTAGACAGTGCAGTCTCTGGCCTCACTTCTGTATTTTGCAAGCCCGTGCGTCTTGTGACTGAGTCGTGCTGTTTTTTTTCCCCCAGGCAGTGATATCACAGCAGGACAGCTGCATAGAAATCCAGCGAGCCACCATCATCGATCGGGAAAAGCAGTACCGGCTGCAGTCCACACGCGGGAACTTGCTACTGGAGCAGGAGAAACAGCGCAACTTTGAGAAGCAGCGAGAAGAACTGGCCAATGTGCAGAAGCTTCAGAACCAGCTGAAGGTGGATCAGCAGCGCTGGGAACGGGAGAGGGACCGACAGCAGAGGGAGCTGGAAAGCAAAGAGGCCCGCTTACAGGAGCGAGAAGAGGAAACTCGGCAGCTGAAAGGCCGCTTGACCCAGGACCGGGAGGAGCTGGAGAGACAACGGGAGGCCTATCAGCACGACCTAGAGAGGCTACGGGAAGCGCAGAGAGCAGTCGAGAAAGACAGAGAACGTGTGGAGCAACTAAAGAAGCTGAAAAAGCAGAATACGGGGTCGGGCACATTCTCCCCAGACATGGGGCAGGTAAGGACTGAGCTGCTTTGCAGCTGGATGCTTCATTTCGTAACTGCCACCTACACATCTCTCTCTCTGTAATTTAGAGTGTGTTTGTCTGTGTGTGTGTCTGTCTGCGAGTCCGTTTGTTCAAGAACTCCTCCTAAACTAGGGACATCAACTTTGGTAGGCAGCTTCCTCTTCTGTTCACTTATAGCAAGGTGAAGGTTTGGTTGTGCCAGGAGAACTGGAGACCTGGAAAAAAGGACTGTTTTCCATAATATGCAAAGGGAGAGGCTGCTGTTGGGAGCGATGCAATATGAGAGGGGTCACTGGGGGCAGTGAGCCCTCAGGGGAGAGCAGACCTGCAGCTGCACCAGCAAGGAAGTGACCAGCAGGGATGGGGCTCTGCCAGCTCCTCCCTCTTGCCCAAATCCTCCCTCCTCCCCCGGCCCTTAGCTGCAGTGTTGGGGGAGAGAAAAAAGGCCCCTGGTCGTGAGGGGAGGGTCGGGGTGGGGGGAGAGGAAAGGGGCCCTTGGAGGCTGGGAGGAGAGGAAGGGGACCCATGGCAGGGGGGGAAATGAAAGTGGCTTCTGGCAGCTGTGGGGTCGGGGGAAGAGAAAAGGGCTGTGCCAGATGGGACCTCCTGCCCTGAACCTGCCTTTTAACCCTCCCAACCCACACTCCTGCACTCCCCCCTCCCCCTCATCCCCAAGGCCCTGGCCTGAGTCCTGCACCTCCCTCACTGCCAGCCTCTTGCCCAAAGGACCTGGGCAATGCCAGGTAAGTCTCCTAGTAGATTTCTTAATGGAAGTTGCTGCACCTTAACCATGGAACTTTCCCTGGGGACAGGTTATCCCATAGCTGCCTGTTGTAGGGTTTGGCGTTGCACTTTCTTCTGAAGGAGCAGGTTCCAGCCACTCGTGGAGACAGGGCAGTGGGGTAGATGGTCCAGTTCTGATTGTCTGGCCATTCCTGTGAAACTTGCCCAAGGGATCTGCAGTAGAAGCTGAGGAAATTGCATTTGGTCTCGGACTGCACTAGGATGTGTTTAAATGAAGGTGCTGTCCTTTGGAGAGGATCACATTAGAGGTGTTCAGTGCAACTGTAACTTTCCTGATTTCTGTGTATTTACGTTTTAAAAACATGGGCCCCTTCCAAAATGTAACCTCCTGCCTCTGACGACAACCCCACCTTGAACGGCGCCCAGCTTCACTGATTCAGCCTCTCTCAAGGGGGAGAGGAGTCAGCCCCAGTGGGCAGTGTTGGAACGATGGGGCTGTAAAATAGGTGACCAAGCTCACTTGCCTTGTAAATGTACAGCAGGCTCGGGCAGCCGGGGCAGCGTTGCAGGTGGTAGAACATAAAACCGGCCACACTGGGTCAGACCTTGGGGCCATCTAGCCCAGTATCCTACTTCCGACAGCAGCCAATGCCTGGTGCCCCAAAGGGAATGAACAGAACAGGTATTCATTCAGTAATCCATCTTCTCTCTCTCATTTCCAGCTTCTGGTAAACAGAGGCTTAGGACACCATCCCTGCCCATCCAGGCTAATAGCCATTGATGGACCTAACCTCCAGTAATTTGTCTAGCTCTTTTTTTTTAACCCTGTTATAGTCTCGGCCTTCAAAACATCCTCTGGCAAGGAGTTCCACAAGTTGACTGTGTTGCATGAAGAAATACAGCCCCGCTTGCTGGCCACAGCCTAATCTATCTAGAACATGGTGCATTCACTTGTCCTCTTTGGTTTTTCCTACTGCCTGCACTGTTTGCATTTTGTCGTCAGCTTACGCCGGCCCATTTGAAGCCCTCTGTCATGGATGATATTAAGCAGGTTCGGAAGCTGCCAAGAGCTTGTGTTCAGTTTACCAAGACTTAGCGGGCTGAGTTATTCTCGCCCCTTCTTTTGTTCAGTTGCACACGTGAGGCCCTGGTATTGGCTTCAAGAAGGCGTTTATATATTTCCCTGCTCAGTTTTTGGTGCATGTGCAGTACCAGCTTCGTGTAATGTATTTTTTTTTCTCAGCGCTTCCAATGGAGAAGGGATAGAAGGGTCTGCATCCCACTTGAAGCCCTCTGGGAGGGCTAGTGTCTTGGGAGTGGATTACGAGGATTGGCCGGAGCTGGTGCGTAGGGACAGCGCCACGCTGGAGAACCGCCCGGTTCTTGCGATGAAGAACGAGGTGCCAATCCACCTGCTGAGTGCCACCAACCAGATCCAGAAACCGGCTGCCGTTCAGCAGCAAATCCCCACCAAACTCGCCACCTTCTCGAAAGGCAGCAAAGAAAAGGGGGGGAGGAGCAAAGCATCTCATCGGACGGACAGCTCAGGTGAGGGCCCGAGGCAGGTTTCGGAGCTCTGCTGACCTCACAGATGCAGAACCCCATTTGCAGCCAATCTGTGGCCACTTCCAGCCAGCCAAACAGGCCCCTCACGGGAATTCACAAGCCACAGAAAGCACCAGGGCGCTTCTTGGGGTGGAAATGTAGCTGAAAATTGAATGTCCTTAACGTGGTTCTCATCAGGGCTGATTTAATCCTGTGTCTCCCTGACCCTGTCCTCATCTGCTGCAACACTGGATGTAGAAGGGGGGAGAGGGATCACAAATAAGCATCCAGTTCTGTTCTGGGCATACATACATCACCCCAAATCCTGGCTTGTTTGGTGAATGGTGAGCAGCGTGTCTCATCCCTGTGGTGGTGTACGCCGCATTCACTCCTAGCCATTGGTTATCCCAATGTGGCTGAATTGCTTTCCCTCCACCCCCTGCACTGCCAACATTTCTCACCCTGCGAACATGCATGTCCAGGCCAGAACAAGGGTGGTGAATGTACCGCAGAGCTAAAATGGGCTAATTCTGTCAGAAATAGAAAGGACTTACCAGTGCAATCGCAATAACATGGTGTAACTTCTGCTTTTAAGAGCCGGGGACTAAAACAGTGGCCTTTGACAATGACAGGCAATGAAAAAACCACACCCACTTGGAAGCGCCTTATTCCCAGCTGCCTGGAATAGCCTTTGGGTTTTGAGTTATATAAATATCATTTTTGTTCCGTGCCAGATAGTCCCAGCAAGTCATCCATCCGACATGTCCGTGGTTATGTAGCGTGGATGGTGTCGGTCTTCTCTGGGTGCATTGTGGAGGCATCTTGGGGTTGCCCTGCCCTGACTTTCCTTGGTGGTGGCTGACTAGCTGCTTCTGGGGTGGGTGGTTGTACTCAAGCCCACAACCCCAGGCTCCAGAGGCTGATGCCTTATCCATTAGGCCACTGGAGGACTGAAGCCATGTTCTGCTTTTGAACTGGTGTTTAATATTTTCATAAAATGAATTGGCTTGTGTCCAGCACGTAACTGATCTTTTTATCCCCCTCCCACTGATGGTGGTGGCCACAGAGACAACAAAACCGTATAAACTATGAAAAGTCCTGTGGGCTGCTTATAGACGAACAGATGTATTGGAACATAAGCTTTCGTGGGCAAAGACCCACTTCGTCAGATGCGTGAAGAGAACCGTAGTGGTTCAACTCCCCAATTTGATTATTTTTACCTTGCTTTTCCATGGAGCTCTGCAGAGTGGAAATAAAACTGGGTAGTTTTTTGACGAGCAGGGTGTGAAACCCAACCCTGACGGGTTCCATTCTCATCAGCACTAATGGGCTGTGCGCTTGGGGATGGAACTAAGAATAAAGTGTAACTTTTCTGCACCCGTGGCATGCTGCACCCGTGGCATGCTGCACCCGTGGCATTCTGCACCCGTGGCATGGAGTTCAGCCCTTGGTGTCTAATTTGGTTTGTAGGATGATGGGTCAGGGATGGGTGTCGGGACATGGAGGCCTTTGGGGCTGGAATGATTCTGTTTCCATTGGTTGCTTTTGCTTATGGGATGAAAGCCTTGGCAAACTTGCCTGGCAGATCTGCTTTGCTTTGTCTCTGCTGCAGCTGCATTGCACGTACGGCGCACGGGTAGATTCCTGGTGCCCTTTCTAGCGTGGGGAGTGCCAGGAGCCATTTTGGGTGTCTCTGCCAGAGTTGTTTTATGATGGTCTAGTATCATCAAGAAAGTGGATTGAAATCTTCAGTTGTCAGTGGGAGGTCTCTGGGAAGTTGGGATGTCTCCGCATAGCGAAATCGAAGCTGGTGGGGGGTAGGAGGGTGAATGCGCCTGATCTGAGTGAGGGATGTAAAATCCCATTTAACTGGCTAAACATATTGTTCAACTGCTTACCTGATTAAAGGTAGGGGTTGAGCAGGTAGCTGCTTCAGCCCAGCTGGAGTAGTCCCCCACACCGCAGGCAGGGGCTGCTGCAGCCCAACCAAAGCAGCCCTTGTCCACAGCATGTGGGCAGCCCCCCACAGATTAATTGGTTAAACCTTCACATCCCTAGTTGGAGCAGTTGAAGAGGTAATTGGGGGTATTCATACCAGCCCCTTTAGGGATGCGAGGGTTGGGTAGATGCCCAGGCTTGAAGTATCAGAATTGACAAAATGCTACCAGGATGAGGTACTGATGTGTACAGCGACTTGTTCTTTTCAGCATCTGTGGACCTGAAACAGCTGCTGACACCTAAGCTGGTTGGGAAAGATGAAGGTGCACCGAGGAACAGGCGGTCGGCGAGCCCAGTCCTCCTGAACAGCCAGGGCACTGCGTTCCAGCCAGGTAAGGCTCTCCAGGGTGCACTGCGCCACCTTTCACTGCCAAGATGTCCTTGTGTACCACGGTGAGTCTCCTCTCCCTTCTTCTTACAGAGACTTACGGCCCAGCTGACAGCCAGCCCGAAGCAGGGATTCCATTCCGGTCCCACAGTCTGCACATCCCTACCTTTGTGGCCTCTCCACCAGCCCTGATCAACGCTCAGGACGATACCAGCAAAGAAGAAGTCATTTTTTTCTGAGTGTTTCTTGTTCAAGAAGGTCCTTGTGCCAGACTGTTTCAACGAACTGAAGTGCGGCACTGGGGGTGTCCTTCCGGAGCAGGATTTCACTGTCGCTTGGTTGGCTTCTCTAGTGACTGCTCAAAATGAAGTCCCCATAGTAACACACTTCCTTTTAATTTTTCCGAGCATGGGAAAGTATTGACTTTTCTATGACATCGGTGTATACATTCAGAGCCTGTTAAAATGTTGCCATCCACTGTAATTTGCTCACTCTGGTGAATCTTCAGTAGCTCTTGGTAGATCTTTTATCTTGTAAAGCAAGTTGATGTTGGACCGCCCAGATTTTTTTTTTATGTCAAAGTTTTATTAATAGGCACTCAAATGGCTGAGAGGTTCAATTCTGTCTTTACAGAGCAAGTGATCGGTGTCACAGATTCTTAATATTGTTTTAATAGCTAGCCAGACAGCAAGCCAGGCTTCTCATAGCCAGCATGAGCAAGGAGAGCAACACACTCGCATAAAAGGAATGGCATCTTGTATCTGTGAGTGAGTTCCCTGGAACATGTGCTCACTGCACGTGTACAATCTAAGAGAGACTGTAAACCTCTTCCATTGAAAAAGTCCCCATAGCCAAAAATTCCCTCTCGTTGTGGCAGCACGGGGTTGGATGTGGATCAACGCTCTAGTGTGGCTGTGAAGAATTGGGCTAGGACAGTGTGTTCCATCAGTTGTGCTAGGTCTGATGTCCATCTTCAGGAAAGGCATCTTAAGGACACATCACCTGGAGAACAGTCTCCATGTGGGTGAGCGTATAAATTCCCAAAGCAGAAAACAGGTTGGTTCAAAACGAATTTTGAGACTGGGGTTTTGTTGCTGCTGAAGATCCTGACCATGAAGAGCTGGTCCAGCAGGCGGTGGGTTACTATCCTGTCTAACCCCTTGTTCTCTGGGTCTTTGTCTGTCAGCTCAGTGCACATCACCAAGGACTGGAAAGTCACACAGCTTGCTGTCACTGCGGGGAGTGCTCTGCAGCTCAGCCAGGAATGAAGGGAATAAGGAATATTTAGAATAATTTACCATTCACTAAACCCCCTTGCATCTGCTGGTACGTCTCTCGTTGGATGGGTTAGGTTTTAGCGACTCTTGGAGCGCTGACAAAGTGAACACCGTTCTGTTCAAATGGGAGTACGTCCCAGCAATGCAATTTGGGGAATCGTTCAAGGGGTCACAGGACTCTGGTGTGTGTCTCCGTTCTCGAATATGCACTACATCTCATTAACATGTAACCCAGTACATGGAACTGTCTTGTCAAATATACTGTCTACAGCGATATGCACCAAAGGGATTGTTCAGTGGGGACACTGCCATCGCAAGGGAAATGGATCTTTCTCTACTATAACACGTTTGGAGAAATGCTTCCCAAAAGGCAGCTGCAGGAGATTTGACGCACAACATCATGACTAAAACCATTTCAGCACAAGTCGGTGCAATTTCCCAACCAGAAGCATTCGAAAATGCTGCTTTATTCCTGCTTTTGAGGAAGGCTGGCTGTTGAAAACAGTTCCCTCTGAGTGGGCAGTACACATGTGACATGCCAACAAAATACTGGCTGGCTGTAACTTCAGTGCAGCCGAAGCGTTTTCAGCAGTTCAAGGAGAAAAGCCCTGGAGGCATTTAAATTGTCAGAAGTGTTTGTTGTAGAGTACAGTCTGGGTTTGGAAATGGCCAAATGCTGTAAGCTGGGCTGTTGTACCCGGCGAGCGAAGCTGTAATTGGGCAATGCAAATACACTGGAAATCTGTAATCAGGGAGGAAGAAAAGAGAAATTTGGAAGCTCAGTGGCCCTGTGCAGGTGCTATCGCTTGTGATGCTTGTGATGCTGTCTTGGATGTCGTTGGCTTAATTCTCCGCTCGGCTGAAAATCAGGATCAAGGCCATTCAAGTGATTGGAATTACACTGGTGTAAGTGAGAAGAGAATCTGCCCCCAGTCACTCTGGTTTATCAGCAGAGAAGCTCTAGAAGCTCATACTGGTTTTTTTTTTTAGCCAAGTTGCTCGGAGGCCTTGCACAGCTTGTGCAGTTTCTTATGGAGCTGGGGTGCGAAGAGCTGTACGGTCACATCAAGAGACAGCCTGATGCAGGCATCATGATCCTGCCTTCTTGTGACCCAGCGTGTCCCGTTATTACTGGTCAGGACAAGGGACAGATGGTGCATGGGCTCGCGAGTCTTCTTTATCTGCTGCTGTCCTCACCCTTCCGTGCAATAAATGCTCCCAGATGTAGAAGAGAGATCCCTGAAAATTACTAGGTCTGTAATGAAATCTCATCAGAAATACAACCCGCCTTTCTCCCTAGTGTTTTCCCAGGAAGCGATTGTAGTTCCAAGTGAGCACATGTGGTGCCTCTTCGGCACCATTCTTCAAAGACGAGCCTTCCGTCCACAACTAAGGAGCTAGTCTAAGAGTCAGCCTCTGTCCTCAGTGCACACGTCTCACTGCTGCTAGCATGTGTGGAGGTTGCATGAATCTGGTGCGGTGAAGGGAGCCCTTTGGCTCTTGGTCTCTTGAGTACACTCAGGTTTGTCTAGGTTTTATTTTAAGTGCCAAGCTAGGTATTGCTGGGATTTTTCTGTAGGGGGAGCAGCCTGAAGAAGCATGACAGTGAATTAGTGAAGGATGTGCTATCTTAATGTTAGTGTGCAAAATCTGTACCTGTACCATGCTCTAAAGCAGGGGTGGGCAAAAGGGCCTCCGTGGGCCGGATCCGGCCCGCCAAGCTGGCTGATCCAGCTCGCGGAGGCCCTGCTGCGCCCCTGCCCCCAGGCCAGTTAGGGGTGCCCTGATTGGCCTGGGGGCGGGAGGAGCACACAAAGTTTCCTCCGCCCTACCTCCACCCTACCCCCGCCCTGCAAGAAGCATGCAACACTTAGAAGTGCTGTGTGCTCCTGGCGGGGCAGGAGGAGGCTTCACGTGCTCCCCCAGGCCCTGATTGGTCTCGGGGTGGGGGAGCATGGGAAGTCTCTTCTGACTGCCAGCAGCATGGGTGTTTAGTGGGCAAAGGGGCTCTCCCACCCCCAAAGCAATCATGGTCTGTGGGTGGAGAACCCTGAAGCATCCTGGCCCCGCCCCTTCCGTTTGCAGCCCCGCCCCTTCTGGTGCTTCCTGGAGCCACTTCACAAATTTTTGAAGTGGACCCCGGCAAAAAATTATTGCCCACACCTGCTCTAAACCAAAATATGACATACCCCTGCCCAAAGTGCAAAATCATTGGTGTGGAGCTGAGGACAAAAGGCGATTTTAAAAGAATCACCTGTTCAGTTTTGCAAAGTCAGAGGCCTGGAAATGTCATTAAATTCCTCCCATTTCACAAGTCAGAATCTATCATTAAAAAGTAATTCATTTGGGGGATTTTGCCCAGCACTAGTTTTTAAACAGTTTTTTCCCCCCCCCCTGAAGCGGCTTAGATTCCAAAGATGCTGTTCAGGTCTGGGATAAGTGACAGATTTAGGGGGTGGGGGGAAGCTGACTACCAAATGTTTGTTTTTGAATTCTGTTGCTACAGATCAGAGAACTGAACCTCTATGGTTCCCTTCCTGCCTGAATTCACCTTTGGTCTTTTGCTGCCCTGAGGTCTGATGGGAGTTGCAGCATGACCTTTGAACTACTCACTTTTGTGTCACAGCCTTACTATTATGGATCGTATGTGTATTTAACATTGTGGCATGGAAATCTTAAGGTTGCTTGTAGTCTTTGATCTTCAGTTTTAAAACCATGTCTGAAGGCTGCTTCCTTTTTTCTGTCCTTTCAAACTTCTGCCACTTCAGGCCTTAAGATTCGAATGTCTTCATCAGGGTTGCGCTCACTTTGACGCTGTATCGCAAGTGCTTTGATAGTCTCTGACTTTCCTAGCTGTGAGCTTTAGATGCAGCACGGCCCACAAATTGACTTTGGAAACCAGTTTCCCTGCCTGGGAAGAAAAGTTGCTGATTCCTAGAGATGCCTGTTTGCTGCGCACCAGTGACTGTTGTGTCCGTACAAGTAGGAGTAAAAATAGTGACAATTCTGGCTTTCTAAATTGTTCTCCTTCCAGATGTAGGATACAGTTTGAGTGCATTTGTGGCGCTTGTTAAAGCAAATGGCAGAATACCTAGAATCAGAATCACAGGAGCATATTAGGCTGGAATAGGATTTAAAAATAGTGGCGAAAAAAAACCCTTATACCTGATCCTACATAGTCTAGTTATCTGAGACTCTGCTAATGCTAGTGATATACCAGATCATTGTGTAGATTCCTCTCCACAAGGGAATGCATTTTGTTGTATTCCCCATTCTCAGCCTCCCTTTGCGAAGATCTTACCTCTGCCATGGCTATAAACCCTGCTTGTGAGAAACCAGAACAGCCTTTTCCCCTCCTCAAGGCCAGTCCAGTACCTTTGAAATCGTTAGCTGCCCTTTATCCTTTGCGTGTGCATGTTATGTGTCGAATTCCATTTGTGCCATGTTTCCAATCAGTGTTTTATATTTTTGTACTGAAAAGAATTGGAGCACTTTAGGAAGGTTTATTTTAAATTTGTCTTCTGTTTGTATCATGCTGATGAAAGTAAACCCTGTTGTCTCTTCTTGCTCAGTGAGTTGTGAACTGTCTTGATACTGTTTGATTTAAAGGTCTGATTTAAAGGCCTCCTCTGCACTGCAATGATTCATGAATAATCATGATTTATGATTACATGGGATTTAAATTGACTATTTGGTTGGGGAGATGGTCTCGGTTGTTTCCGTTTTGGTAGGATGTAAACATTGTAAATAGTTCCTCTACTGTCAATAATTTGGTCATTCAACTTCTTTGTAGTCCTTAATTTTATTTGTAAAGTCTGTGGTTAAATGTTAATATTCTCTTGAATGGTGCACTTCTTGGTTAATTGTGAACGTGATCTTAGCCCACCAAACAATTTATTTTTACAATGATCGCAATGGTTCCCCATTGAAGGGTTTCAGAGCAGCAATACACCTGAAACCAACATCCAGCAATAAAAATACCCTCAAAAGCTAGCTGCTTTAAGGGACTTTATTTCAGTTTAAGATGTAATTGCTACCCTAAAACAGAGGCGATTTCTCACGTGCACCTGGTTTTCTACCCTACAGACAAGAATCCTAGTGTGTTTGAGGGATTCCATATCTGCTGCCTAGAGGAAAGGGGGATGCGTATGGTGAGTCAGAGCAGGTGCAAAGCTCCTGAAAGTAGAGATCTCCAAAGAGCTAAGACTCCCACAGGGGCGATCTGGTCCCTGAATGGCAGAAATGCAGCAGAGTGGTGGAAATGGAAGGGTAGGACATTAGATTACATTGGCAGACAGCACCTGGGGGCCCATCTGGTTTGAGGTGTTGCTGGTGCTGTCCCAGTCAGTTTCTACGTGCAGTGCACCACACTCTCTGTACCAGCCTGGTGGCTGCTGCTTGGTTTTGCCAGCGTGGGACGCATTGACTAGTTTGCAGCACCTGCTACGGGTCTGACAGTGCGGCACTCAGCAGAACGCTCCTAACACTGCTCAGTATTGACGGACTCCAAACGAAGGACCAGTCAGCCCGCCTTGGCCTACAGCAGTGGTTCTCAAAGTGTGGTCTGACCATCTTGCAGGTGGCCGCGGGCTCGTGGCTCCCTCCTCCCCTCTCCCACAGTGGAGAGCCTGTAATGGCACTCCAGCCTCATGCCCCCCATCCTCCCATAGGTTTGGAGCGCCACCTTCCCACTGCAGAGGGAGGGAGAGACAAGCCTCACGGGATCTAGATCGGGAGAAAGGAAGTGGCTCTGCGCACTGCCACTCTCCCTTCCCCCCCGGCTGGGGGAACTGTCCCCTGGAGGCTTTCCCTGCTGCTCCCATTGTCCAGAATCACGACCAATGGGAGCAGGAGGGGGCGGTGCCTGGAGCAGCAGGGCCACAGAGCCAAGTAAGCGCGCTCAGACCTCTCCCGCACCTCCTCCCCCCAACACCCTGCATCCCCCACCCTCCCTTCCACCTCCCACACTTAGCCTGCACCCTCCTTTCCTTTCAGGCTCCCCACCCTCGCCCTCAGCTCACTTCTGCACCCATTTTGTCATCATGGGTGCTTGGCTGGTGGTCCCCAGAAAGGGTTGAGAACTGCTGGCCTTAGATAATGCAAGGGATTAAGGCTCAGGGGATTAGACCAGATAAACTCAGGGAAGGCTTCAGGGAAGCCCCAAACTGCAGTACACACGGTGGGCAGAGGAAAATTCCGGCTGAGTAGGACTTTGAGCCTAGAGCAGTGTTTTCCAATTGGTGCGCCGTGGAACCCCAGGGTTCCGCAAACAAAGTCAGGGTTCCGCGAGGATGCAGCATTGCCCCGCCCCCTCTTAAAGAGACAGAGTATTTTTTTGCTTGACCAATCCTGGCGGGGCTCTTTTTTTTTTTTTTTTTTTTTTTTAATGGGACTCCCGTATGGAGTCTGTGCTGAGGAAGGCCAGATGAGCACACGTCTGTGAACATTGCAGACTCTGAATGGTGGTCTGCCTCAAATTGGTAGCGAGGGATCCGGGCTCTCTTCCCCATTGGGAGTCGCTCTTCGCCGGTGAAATTATCTTAGTGTTGCAAGCTGCAGATCTGCAAAGGAGGCTCCCATCATATTTCCCCCGCATCCGTCAGTGCTGGCAAATGGATTTGTGAAACCAACTGATGCTTCGCAGGTTGGAGATCTGAAGGGGAAGGGGGCTAAATAGGTCCCTGGATCTGCGGTGAGGACAAATCAGTCTCACTTGTGGAGCATAACCTGTGGAACTCCTTGCCGGAGGATGCAGTGAAGGCTAGAACTTTGGCAGGGTACAAGGAAAAGCTAGATGGATTCATGGAGGCTAAAGCCATCAATGCCTATTAGCCAGGACGGGTCGGAATGGTGTTCCTAGCCTCTGTTTCTCTGGAAGTGGGTGACGGGGAGGGATCACAGGAGAATTACCCCCGGGGCATCTGGTATTGGCTACTGTCAGCAGACAGGACGCTGGGCTAAATGGACCTTTGGTCTGACCCAGTATGGCCGTTCTTGTGTTCACTTGTGCTCATTCTGGTCCCCTGGAGAGCTCTCCCTGTGGTTAGCTGCAGTGGCTTCACTGCTCTAGTCATCTCCTGTTTGGGGGTGTAGCTAGCCCAAGTGCGAGAGTCACTTCCTGTCTCACCTCTTGTTCAGCAGCAGAGAAGGTGACAGCTGATGGGGCTGTTCCAGGTTTGGAATTAAAAGGCAGTGCTACTGGGAGGGGCAGAGTCCTGCCCAACTAGTCCTTGGGTTGGGATGCGGTTAATAACCAAGTCAGGAAGCCCCAAACTGCACACACACGGTGGGCAGAGGAAAATTCCGGCTGAGTAGGACTTTGAGCCTAGAGCAGTGTTTTCCAATTGGTGCGCCGTGGAACCCCAGGGTTCCGCAAACAAAGTCAGGGTTCCGCGAGGATGCAGCATTGCCCCGCCCCCTCTTAAAGAGACAGAGTATTTTTTTGCTTGACCAATCCTGGCGGGGCTCTTTTTTTTTTTTTTTTTTTTTTTTTTTTTTTTTCTTAGTTTTTTGTTTTTTTTGCTTGCCAAATTTTACTCCGGGAACCCTAAGGGTTCCTTGAAATTATTTTAAGCTGAAAAGGGTTCCGTGGCCAAATAAAATCAGGAAACACTGGCCTAGAGAGCTGCCACTCGGCTGAAGTCCCTGTTGCCAGAGCAGGTTATGGGTAGATTGGGCACAGAGTAGGGATGCTACTGGGATACAGGAAGTGGGGGAATGACCTCCATGAACTGCAGCTGCTCCATTATGGTCCCAGGCTGTGTGGGGGACCCACCCCCCTGCCCCCGGTAAAGAAATGTGTAGAGGAGCAGGGCTGTTGTGGATGAGAAGAGCACAGGGAAAGTGGTTTGGAAACAGGCGGCTGCAGTGCTCAGGAAGCCCAAAGACCAGAACAGGAGGGGCTTGGAGGCCGTGACTGGCAAACAGTTGGGTGTTTGCAGCCAGGGAGGAGGAGGCCGGTTGAATGTTGGCCATAAATTCATGCTGCTGGTAGTTAAATCAAAATTCCTTCAGCACAACAGCTGCTGTGCAGAGGGGCCAGTCTGGCTGCAGGGAGGGGAATATATCTGCCAGTGACACACCCTAAAGTGTGAGGCAGAGTCAGGTGTGTGGCAGATAACTGTTTCTCAAAGGGCAGGCCGTGGCTGGGAACGGAGGCCCCCTGGAGCCTGTTCTTGGCTCTAGCTGCTGTCTTGTGGTGAGGCTCTGGGCAAATCGTTGCTGCTCTGTAAAATGGGAACAAAGATACATCTGCCCTGGCCTCTGCTGACAAGTGTCTGTTTGCAAAGCCGCTGGACAGCTGTTCCGTGCAAAGCTTTCTCTGAGAGTCCACCTCCCTCCAGAGCTTGATGTTGTAACCAGTTGTGCGTGAGCGAGCAGTAAACTTACATGCCTCTGGTGCCAGCCAGGGCAGCAGCTCCTCTCCACCATCGCTCACGTCAAATCCGACACGGCTCAAACGCCCGCCCGACGCTTCGCTAAGGACGGCTCACTCGGGCCAGAGGGAACGACGCGGTGAGTGCTTTGGGGTCCCGTGGGGAAGGCTCCGCGGCGCAGCCCTCCCAACCACACCGGCAAGCCAGACGCAGGAGGAAGAGCATGTGTGGAGACAACTGGATCCATCGGGGGCTGCAGAGAGGGGCAATACGCTGCTGCTTCACCTCTGTGACCGACAGTCTGGGTTTTCTACCCAGGAGTGGGCCAGTCTGCTTCCCGCAGACAAGCAAAGGAGCTTCCGAGCGATGCCTGAGGGGCTTTCCTCTGGCGCTGTGGGTTGGGATCAGAGCGGGACCCTCTCCACCCCTATGGGGAAGCAGGGTAAGTGCCCATCTGCCAGAGCTTTGGGCAACTTGTCTTGTCCGCTGGCAGCCCTGGAGAGCAAGAGATGCGAGGCCCTGGCTGCGTTCTGTTCTGGGCTGCGTTTCTTAAAGGACTGCGAGTAAAACGACATGCTTGAAACCCCCGTGGGGAGCGGGGGGGTTGCTCTAGGACGAGCCAGGCCTCACTGCGGACAGGAGCAGGCCTCTCCCCTTTCCAAAGGCCGATGTCTCTCATTCTTAGTGTTAATTAAGCCACGTGAACGAACCACAACCCACCCGCAGTGCTGAGGGCAATGGACAGAACCAGAGACCTGCCCTGTATATGACTTCTCAACGTCGCCCACGCCAATAATCCACGGGATTTCACATAGGTGGGTGAGGGAAGGTTCACTCTTAACTGCTCAGTGAGCACCACGGCCGATCGAATATGGAAGCAAAAAGAGGAGAAAGTAAACACAGTAAGGGAAGCTGTTTCCATCCTTGCTCCTGCCTCACTCTGAGGATGCATCCAGACTGGCACGTTTTTCCACAAAAGCAGCTGTGGGTCGGACAATGACCAGAGCCGTGCGTGATCTTCACCAGCCATGGAGAGAGAGAGAGCGCCCTGTGGTACTGCTCGGTCCGAACAGGCACCTGGCCTGAGAGCAGCGGGCCTGGCCCACTGGGTCCTCCGTGTGCCAGGAGCAGGAGCAGCATGGGTAGAAGTTGTGGGAATGTTTGTCTCAGCATTTGGGTCTCTAACTGAGGCTGCTGCTTGGGTCTCAGCGTATTCCTGACACCGCAACCAGCCAGGCTGGGGCAGCGTGTGGCCTCGCCTTGGCCTGTTCCCTGGGGGCAGGCCCCCCGATTCTCCAGGGCCAGCTTGGCCTGGGCTCGGCTGGCAGCTCTGACCGGGGCTGCTCAGCTTTTTATCCAATTCAGGATTAAAGATGGAGACTTGGGGTTGGTCTGCGGCCTGGGGGTTCTTAGCCCTTTGAACGCTGCCACGCAAGGCGCTTATGGAGCTGCCACGGCGCCAGTTCCTGCTGCCCGGGGGCCCCACGTGCCGGTTGGCTGGCTGAACGTCGTGTGGCCGTAGGGCAGGGCCAGCCATTCATCTGGGATCTGGCACCTGCCCAGGATGCCGGCTGCGTGTGAGGGGGAATGTGCTATGGGCCTGCGATGTCCCAGGGCTGGACAGTGAGGTGGACAGCCGTCCCAGGCCTGGCGGTCTCCGTGTTGTGAGGGTCTCGCTGTTCTGCTGGAGCACACCTGGTACAGGATGTCCCGGTCCTGGAGAGAGAGTCCACTTCTCAGAGAGGTAGGCGAGCACCCCAGGAGGCGCCCTGCTTACATCCCCTGGGAGGTATGTGGGGGCAGAGCCTTGTGCTTCCTCAGGTGCCTGGAGCCCTCCAGGCAGGTGAAGCAGGAGAATGAGGCTACTGGGCTGAGCAACCAACCTGTGCCGGCTCCAAGGTTCCTGCTGCACCAAGGGCTTTGCTGGCACACACGGGCTGCCGTGCCTTGGGGATGCTCTGACCCCCTCGCCCGCATTCCCAGCACCAGGCCTCATTGCTATGGCAACAGGGAGACCCAGCCTCAGCCTGGTCTATGCATCCCCTTGCAGGGGGCCAGGCCGTGGTCTTTGCCCTGACCCTCTCCACACGGGCTGGTAGCCAGGCTGGGGATTACACCAGGTGCGGTGGGTGTCACTGCGTAAAGCTCCCCCGCCCAGCCCATCCATGGAGGGAGGAAGCAGACAGACTCAACAGTCCAGGCAGCTTTGGCGGTGGGGCAGGGCAGGTAACTGGCCTGAAATATTTACTGCAGCTGTTTCCTGTCCAGGGCTTGGCCTGGGCCCAGCTGGCAGCCTTGGCGCACGGCAACCACCTGGCGGCTGCCTGCAGGGACTCCCTTGATCTGAGAAGTGCTCCAGATAAGGCAGGCAGGGGTTTGGCCAAACATCCTGGTTAGGAATCACGCCCAGCTGGAGCGACCAGCCTGCAGCCCGTGAGCATAACACTACTGAAGGGAGAGGCGCTCTGAGCCCAGCTGGACCTCGGTGGTTCCAGGGGCTAGCGCCTTCCTCCTGCACCATGGCTGTGGTTCCTGCACGACTCCCTCTGTGCACACGGAGAGCTGGCGCACCCCGCGCCCAGCCCAACCAGTAACAAACGCTGTCCTGGGTGGGGCCAGCGCCCCGTTC